TGATCATAACATTGATCAGTTAAAGGGGTGATGAACTGAGAAATCAAATTTTCCTTGAGCTTTTGACATCTAATGCCGAGTTCAGACTGCACGATTTTCAAAATAATCGGGTCACTGTTGTTTTCACACTGCATGATTATCTGGGGTAACTTTCAGTTTCTGCTGTGTTCACACTGCACGATGGATCGGCGACAGGAGGTTTCACACTGCATGACTTTACAAAAGAAAGAATCGCCGACAACTTCTGCCTGGTCCGCAAACTACGTTTCACAACCAAACAAACGCGAGAAGTGATAGGAAATAACGGAAGATCACGCGTGCGTGAGACCGGAGTTCTCGCGCGACACTGAATTTGTTATTAAAAAAGATAGCCTACAAATTGTCTGTGCACTGATTTGTAGCGAAAATGAAAAAGAAAAAAGAAACAGTTTATGCAGGAAATGGTTGGGAAGACGAGGGGAGCAAGGACTGTGTTTTGCAAAGAGAGTTGGGGGTGAATAAATAATTTTGCAAATGTCCTGCTGTTGCTTCTGGTCACGCAAATGTTTGTGCTTTGTTTCTGTTTGGTAAATATAGGCCTATCTATTAAAATACTGATATTCTGGTCTATAACTCCTCCTCCTCCTCCTCCCTGTATCTTGCTCTCTCGTTGGCTGTCGGTCATCGCCGATGTAGTTTTCAGTCAGAACACATTCACACAGCAGGATTGTGAATCGCCGACAGGTCCAGATATTTAGCATGCCAAATATCTCACGGGCGTCGGCGATTCTCTCAGATCGCGTCTTTGCTCATTCACACTGCGTGATTGTCACTCGCGTGAACGAGCACCGATTTGCCTGTGATTTCGGGCATTTGTCGGCGATTTCTCAAAACCTGTCGGCGAGCCAAAATCGGGGCTAAAATCGTGCAGTCTGAACTCGGCATAAGAGGTCATCAAATTATAAGAATATCCTGTAAGTTTCAGAACTGAAAACGTCCTTGTTAGTCCAATAAAAGCTTTTATTGACACCAGGCTCAGCAAACGACTCGTTTTTCAAAGTGGGGAACTATGACGACAACACCACCCCCGCAGAAGAAGATCAACGCCTACTTCAACACGGACGGTTTAGCCCCGCCCACCGATTCGCGCATTACACGAAACTCATTATAATATGCAAAACTGTTATCCACTCACAGCAGTGGGCGTTTACTTACAAGTCTTCAATGCAAGACGCCCATAAAAACCGAGCGTTTTTGAGCTAGGCTCAAAACTAGGGTAGAAAATAGCCTATTACTTATTCATTTTGATGTTTTTGAATGTAAAAACCAAGCGAACGTCATAAGTTGACCTTAGACAACAATATAAAACAATTTAAAAAGCCAGTTCATGACCCCTTTAACATTGATAAGAATGAATGTTTCTTGAGCAGCAAATCAGCATATTAGAATGTTTACTGAAGGATCATGTGACACTGAAGACTGGAGTAATGGTGCTTTGCCATCACAGGAATAAATTACATTTTACAATATATTCAACTAGAATTTCCCCCCACAATATTACTTTTTTACTGTATTTTGAATAAAGAAATGCAGCCTTAGAGTGTTTTTTACAAGTGTTTTTTCAAAAACATAAAAAATCTTAATTGGATTAATAGCAGTCTTAACATTTTACATGAACTGTGTTTCTTGACATGCATTTGCAATACACGTGAATGTTTTGAATTTGACTTTGAAGGACCTGGATGTAGACCCTAAGCTGATGAATAAGGAAACTCTGGAAGAAACGGGAAGCTTCTTACTTTCAGGCAGTCTTCCTCAGCACTGCCTCTACACCAGACTCAGCTCAGTGCAGAAACTCAAGGTGCATCTCAAGACTTCTTCAACACATCATAACCTAGAAAGATTCACAATAGGTCTTTAGCTAGATTGAGCTTTACAATGCATTTTTCGATTTAATTCAAAACTACATTGATCCCTTTTTTTCTTCTCACACTTTCTTCCTGTTTTACAGGAGGAACTAGCTTTCACTGTCTGCCTTCAAGTCCAGTTTAACTGCCTAGATGACCTGGTCCAGTGGAACATGGACGTTAACATTGGCAAGCCCCTCACCGCCAAACTGGATCTCAACCGCCCCACCAGGAAGAACAGCTGCCAGCTGACGTGTCCCATGCCGCACAGTCCCTCGACCAGCCCGAGCCACAGTCCCGCGTCTGACCGTCGCTTCACCCAGCAGTACGCCAACCCCTACCTCAACGTCTGCGAGCCTCTCCACGGAGCTGTGGGGGGTTGTGGGGACTTTCGATTGCACGGTGACCATACACATGAATACGAGAACATGCCATGCTCACTCTTCCTGAACCCACTGAGCATTCCCATTGAGACCACTGATGACATTGATGACATGCAGAATGAGTTCATGAATAGTTTGCAACTCTATAACAATCCTTGAAAGATTCAGATGAACACAAACGAAAATGTTTAGAATAATAATCCATCTCTGTGAGTTCATAATGCAAGTGGATGGGATCCTCAAAGCTGATGCTTCAAAAACCACAGAAAACAAACACGATGGTAACCCGTATGACCCCGGTTGATGAATCATCAATGTCTTCCGAAGCGAAACGATAGGTGTGTGTATATAGCGCACAGCATGATATAAGCGAGTTTTGTGGGGGGTTTTGAAGTGTCAGCTTGGGAGGTCCCGTACACCTACATTATATCCATTCACATCAGCTCGTCTGATTATTTTGCTAAAAATCTTCATTTGTGTTCATCTGAAGAAAGAAAGTCATACATATCGGACTGCATGAGAGTGAGTCAACCGGGCTCAGAATACAGGAGTTTCAGGCTGATTTATGCCCGATTTACCCCTCCCAACATTCGGAGAAAAAAAATGCGTCGGTCGGTCGGTTCTGTTGTTCGCCCCTGAGTATCTGGTAATGTGAGGCGTATACAGATCAAATCTTAAACCTCCCGATCTGCTCGCGGACACATTGGGGTCGCCCCCACAATATCTAACATGTTTGATATTTAGGGTACATTTACACGACAACAATGTGCTAAAAACGGAAACGTTTTTTATTTGTACATGTGACAACAAACGATCCCCGTCCACACGGATCCTCGAAAACGACTATTAACGCTGTGTTATGTATGCCAGACAAGTAGTTGGCGATGTCACTTTGTAAAGAAAGACTACGCGCCTGCGCACATACACATTATTTTACTACAGTCCCGGGGACACACTTAACGACTAGCTGAAACATTCTAAAGGTGATGATACACAGGGCAACTCTTTGAGCAATGTTGCTGGGCAATCTTGCCGAGCGATTGTTGCTTGGGCACTTTCCCATTGAAAATGGGCAATACATTTCTATCTGGATCATTTAGATCGGTCGTGGGCCCTGTGTCTCATCTGGTTGCCCGTTGACGCCGACATTGCCCAGCAACATTGCTCAAAAAGTTGCCCCGTGTATCATCACCTTAAGACTGAACACACTTACAGACTGTCTCCAATTACTGCAGCAGATTGTAAACACTGACTGAACACAACACATTTCGGCATGATCAATCGTTAGTATCAAAACACATGCATAATCGGCCTTACAGTCGTTAAGTGTATCCCCGGCTTTATGTGCGTGATGCAACCAGAATTTACAATCGGTTGAAACTCCTGTAGTCTGAGTTTGGCTTAAATGATGAGAGATTTTTCATTGTGGGTTTAGTATGTTAAAGGGATACTCCACTTTTTTTGGAAATAGGCTCATTTTACAACTCCCCCAGAGTTAAACTGTTGAGTTTTACCGTTTTTGAATCCATTCAGCCGATCTCCGGTTCTGGCGGTACCACTTTTAGCATAGCTTAGCATACATCATTGAAGTGGACAAGACCATTAGCATTTCTCAAAAAAAAAAATGACCAAAGAGTTTCGATATTTTTCCTATTTAAAACTAGGTGAGTGCAGCAGGCGTAATGAAATGACGCAGCGCCTGAAAATAGGCTACCTTCCGTCAACACAACGGAACTATTTTCAGGCGCTGCGTCATATCATTACGCCTGCTGCTCTCATGGTACGGCAGTGAAGTTTCTTGATTATTACGCAGGAATGAGAGTATAGTTCCTAGCCATATCAGCCTAGAAAATCGCAACTTTACATTTTCCGTCGGTCTAAGTGCACGATGTAACTACAGAAGAGTCAAGTTTTAAATAGGAAAAATATCGAAACTCTTTGGTTATTTTTTTTTAAAATGCTAATGGTCTTGTCCACTTCAATGATGTATGCTAAGCTATGCTAAAAGTGGTACCGCCAGAACCGGAGATCGGCTGAATGGATTCAAAAACGGTAAAACTCAACAGTTTAACTCTGGGGGAGTTGTAAAATGAGCCTATTTCCAAAAAAAGTGGAGTATCCCTTTAAGGGTGAAGCTGTCTCCTATCCCAGCTTAAATGTCCAGACTATAAATTAATTATAAGTATTCCATCCATAAATTGACTGCATTATTTTTCATTTGCATTTGGTGGTGGTAGTGATGCAAACATTATATCTCAGGTGGTCATGTTTAATTTCCAACAGTTTTTAGTCTTCACTTTTATGTGGCTAACTTATTACGGCACCTTCAAAATACTTGATCATACAGAAAATATTGTAACATACTGTAAGTATTTAGTCATGTTAAATTATCATTTATATTAAAAAATCTCATCATCTCATTACATTTAAATGTCTTTTTCATGTGGATTTTAAACAGATGTTTAGAAAAATAACCTTTATTTTGAAATAAAAAGTGCATGAATCAAATATCATGATTATCTTTTACCATGTTGATATTGGTCATAAGTCATAACATTTACTTTGCAATTTAAGACGACTCAGTGATCACAGTTTGGTTAAAAAAAGAAAAACAAGGAACAAAAGAAAAACAAAGAAAAAAGATGAAATGAAGAAAAAAAGGACAAATGAAAGAACTAAGAATGAATTAATTTCAGAACAAGGACATTGATCTCTTAAAGAGTGATGAACATCAGGTTATTGAAACTATTAATAGTTTCACTGTATAAGTAAATGAGTGTTAAGATTAGATAACTTTAACTTCTTCTACACGTTACATAACAGTGCACTTCTCCTCAGCCTTGGATTTCATCTCCACAAACGTGGCCTGAGCCTTTTCTTTGATCTGCTCCATATCCATGTTCTGAAGGTTCTGCATTTGACCCATGATGGATTCCTTTTCCTCCTCCGGCGGCGCCTCTCCATCCACCATCTTGATCAGTTCTTCTGGCACGTCAATGTCATCTCCGGCCTGCTGAATCATAATCTCGTCCTGTTCGCTCTGGGAAAAAAAACATCAGCAAGCATGTCAATCAATCCTAAATTGAAAAGGATAATGTACTCCGAACACATAGGTGGTGACATTACGCTTTTTAGCTATACTTCAATAATCAGCCCGTTCTCATCCCAAGGCGTCATATACTGACGCTTTTGACTGACATTTCGTCTACATCCAACGCACATGGCACCCGTTAGCGTCAATATGAGACGCAGAAAGATATGGGCCAGAAGGCGCCTCCTAGCGGTCTAACCTTAACCCTACCCCAGACCTAAAGGGTTAGGGTTAGACCGCTAGGAGGCGCCTTCTGGCCCATATCTATCTGCGTCTCATATTGACGCTAAAGGGTGCCATGTCCGTTGGATGTAGGCGAAATGTGAAAATATGTCACCCTAGGATGAGAATGCGTTACAATAATGATAACGGTAACACTTTATTTTACAGTGTCATTGTTACATGTAGTCACTATAGTAATAACTAAAAATTATGCATAATTACATGCAATTAACCCTAAACCAAACCCTCATCCTAACCTTTAGTAAGTGCATGTTGTAAATTATTATTACTCAGTACTTAAATGTATAATTACACTGTAATACTGACACCTTGAAATAAAGTGTAAGCATGATAACATTGTCTCTCAAAATAATAATGGTCATTTAATACCCATTGGGGCGTCTGTCTTGAAAAACCATGGGTATATGAGGTAGCCAATCATCTCACAGCAATTCGTAATTATTTTACGCTTTTGGCAAATTGGTGGGTAGGTTTAGGGGCAGGGTTAGGGTTGGCCTTTCATAATGACTGTTCATTCACATCAAATTGCCACCTCGTACAAGTAACGTTTTCCTGTGAGATCAGCTTGGAAACTACTATAGAATCACCCTATACAGCATTGCTTTTAAAGCTCAGTTTAGAGAATCACTGCGGGTGGTTAAGCCTTATTCATCCAAAGTGACTATTTTAGTCTTACTATTTTATGACTTAATCTCCTGCCACAATCTGCAATGGAAGCTTTCACACACGTAATAGTTTAACCATCTTTTCAAACTGATGCTATTAATGTGCTGCTTACAGTCAGTCAGGGACAGGAATAACTCAATTAAGGCAAGACATCTCAGGTGAATAGGATTAAAAAACAAATTACTAACAGATATCAACACACGTCCTCAGTTGATTTATTACTTTTTTTTTTTACATTACAAATTTTCTTAAATTATATTTTTAAATATGCAAATGTGGGATTGTCTAATTAAATATGCACTAATTTGTATACATTTCCAGAACAGAAATCCGAACATTAGAGTCGAAGGTTTTTACAAAGAGGATTTTGGATATGTCTTTTGAACATTCACCATCTTTTTAGGAATAAAACGTTTTATACATTTAATATAGATAGGAATACAACTATAAGTTTTGTATATGTATAGTGTTCTGCCTTAAGCATCATTGAGAAGGATTCCTGGATTATCTGCGTCTGCATGGGACTCTCACCTTTGGAATTCGATATTTGTCTCTTAAACAAGTCCTCAAACAAGCCCTTTCTGCTTTTCTTGTAGAATATTCTGCATCTCTCTCCATCCTTGATTGATGGGGGACAAACAGAGAACAGGAATATAAAAGAACAGCAAAGACACCAGTTGCATTCACGAACTGCAAAAACAGAGCATCATATCATACATTTACCATGTAGTTTCTTTCACAGCTCAACCAATGTAATGCTCAGTAACTCTTGAGTATCATATTTCACGCTAAACGTTTTTTTAAAGATGTGTTTGGAAGGGTCAATGAGTTTATAAACCTGTCACAAATGCAGTAAGAGTTTTATTTCTAACCCAATGTTCTTTAAAAGAGATTCAAACTTACTTTTCCTCCACCACCTGCTTCTGATACTCGTCATATTCCTCCCTGGACATTCCATCATGAGACATTTTGCTAGTTGTTCCTGCTTCTTCACCTGGCTGGTCACAATGAATGTGAACTGATGTTCTTTGGAAAAGAAAGATGCACTTCTCCTTTCCTTTTTTTTCTTCTTCTCTGAATCAAGCTTCATTCTAGCTCCAGGATTGGTCTATCAGAGTAAATCCAATGAGAGGCTTTTCTGGGCAAGAGCCCTGCAGACAAGTTGCATCACCAAGAACATCCTGATTCCTGACAATGACCCAGGCCAAAAAAAGAGTAACAATATTCTGCCAAATTCCATCAGCTCGTCTGAGGTCTCTATTTCCATTGCCAGAAATTAGATTAATTAATCATTTGCTCAATATTTGCAACTTTAAGGCCTTGCAGTGCACAAATTTATTGGATTTATATGGATTTATTTATGTTTGTATGTATGTATGTATGTATTTATTTACGATGAATGCTAATGATAATTACAGTTGCATCTGCAATCATTAAAAAATAAAATAAAATAAATATAAGAATAAGAAAATTTGATTATTTGTGTGGGACACTTTCACGAAATTATTTGTTTGTTTGCTTGTTATAATAATTACAGTTGCCTTTGCAATCATTAATTATTGATAAATATGAATAATAAATATAACAACAGCAATAATACATTTATATTATTATGACAATTTATATCTCAGAAAAAAATCTGATCTAATACCGTAAATCCTGCAAGTGTGATTACAGTCATGCAAAGTTCTAGTAATTAGGTTCGTTTCTACATATATGCCTAATAATTAAGCTCTACGTTATTTGAATTACATCACTGTAAGTATGGATTTCATATACTTATAAACATGTTTTGTTACAACCCAGATCCATTCAAAATGTAAATTCAGAATATCGTCCCCTTGGAATTATAAGGTTCTATCTGCGTTCTGAGCAGTTTTGAGATATTGAACTTTAAAGTTTTTGCATTCCATTTGACTGTTAGGCCATGAGACGGGACCCCAAATTTGGGCTACCCGTACCATTTTGAGGGATTAAATTTCTTTTTGATTTCCATGAAGGTACACATCTCTAGTGTTGGAAAATGTGTGATAGCATCCGATCCATGGTAGCTTTCATTAGAAATCAACACTTATATCATCCTACCTCAAGGTAAGGTGTTCAGTGACTACAAGAGAGAAAAATGTATCCTTTTATAATTTAAAAAATTTATTTTAAAAAATTATAATTTTTTTATTATAAAAATTTATAAAATTTCATAAAATTTTATAAAAATGTTATAAAATTTAAAAAGTATTTAAAGATAAATAAATTCATTTATCCTTTTTCTTGACATATGTTTGAAAATCGTACTCCGTAACCAAAAACTACCTTGAATCGAATCGGTTACCTAACGTAACCTCGGTTCTCTCTAGAAGAGGGAACGAGTATTGCGTAAGCTAGCTTACGCTGCGGGAAAGATTCATCTTTGCTGAGAGTTTGAAGCCAAAAAATTATTTCATAATTTGTATCCATTGACAACGCAGTTCCTCTGCGGCAGACCTAGAGCAGGCTAGCTAGCAGCTCATTGGTTCGCTCAGAGAGAACTACTTAAGCCTATGGGAGAGCGGGGCTGAACCCGCTTCCGAGAGGCGCCCGCGTGCTCATTGCGTCACGGCCCGCCAGAATGGGCGTGGCTATGGTGTATATAACAGTCTCTCCCAGGCTTATATGTTGATTTATTTCAGCGTGAAGCGAAACGCTAGTAGCGCAAGCACGGCCGGGAACGCAATACTCGTTCCCTCTTCTAGAGAGAACCGAGGTTACGTTAGGTAACCGATTCGTTTTCTTACGAGAGGTTCTCTCGTATTGCGTAAGGAACACCTGGTCAACGCCGTGCGCGCTATGAATCCACTCATGAATCCCAGGGTGATACCGGGGGATTTTTAACGTGGAGTGAATGTATTATGAGGCCGGCAGAGCGGGCACATGAAGTGTATACATAAGCATGTATGAGGCCGGCAGAGCGGGCACATGAAGTGTATAAGCATTTAAGGAGAGCACAAGGGGCGAACCGGTTGTGTGAGGGACTCCCAGTAATGCAGCTTCTTAGGGAGCTGGTCGTTAGACAGCTAGTAATTTTGCCTGCAAGGCGGGAACTTCCAAGTTGTAAAATCTGACAAAAATGGACGGGGAGGCCCATCCCGCGGCCACACAAATGTCATGAATGGAAATTCCACAGGACCATGCCCACGATGAGGCCATGCCTCTAGTGGAGTGCGCCCTGATGCCCAGAGGGCAGGGCAGGCATTTAGATGCGTAAGCAGAGGCGATAGCGTCTACTATCCATCTAGACAGTGTCTGTTTAGAGGCGGCCAGGCCTTTGGTGCGCCCCCCAAACGACACGAAAAGCTGCTCAGCGCGTCTGAACGCGGCAGCGCGCGTAGTGTACAATCTCAGAGCCCGCACCGGGCAGAGGAGATTGGCGTCGCGCTCACTATCGGATGAAGGCAGAGCCGATAGGGAAATAATCTGAGCCCTGAACGGGGTACCAATCGCCTTCGGGACATAGCCATGTCTAGGTTTGAGAATGACAACAGAATCATTCGGTCCAAACTCAAGACACGCGGCGCTGGATGAGAGCGCGTGAAGATCCCCCACGCGTTTTACTGAGGACAGAGCCGTCAGAAAAACGGTTTTGAGCGAGAGGTATTTTAGGTCCACAGACTCGAGCGGTTCGAACGGGGGTGCTTTCATAGCTTCGAGAACTATAGAAAGATCCCAGATAGGAACCGAAGGGGGGCGCGGAGGGTTCATCCTCTTAGCTCCCCTGAGGAAGCGGATGACTAACTCGTCTTTGCCCAGGAACTGAGCGCGTCGGGGTTCAGAGAACGCCGCGACGGCTGCCACGTAAACCTTGAGAGTGGAGGGGGACCTGCCCTTGTCCAGCATCTCTTGAAGGAAAACAAGCAAAGACGGCACCTCGCATGACCGTGGGTCCAGATGTTTGTCGGTGCACCATTTTGAGAACACAGACCATTTAGACGCATAGAGCCTTCTCGTGGAAGGTGCTCTAGCCTGTATGATAGTGTTTCTTACTCCTTCTGGCAAATCGACGAATAGTCGTTGATCACCCATGCATGTAGCGCCCAGCGCCGTGGATGGGGGTGCCAGATCATGCCGCGAGCTTGAGAGAGGAGATCTGCTCTGACTGGGATGGGCCACGGGGCTGTCTGTGACAGCTGAGTGAGCTCCGGAACCCAATTCTGACTCTCCCAACGCGGGGCTATGAGGAGCACCGAGTGGCGTGTGTCCCTGATCCTCTGAATTACCTGTGGTAGCAGAGCGATCGGAGGGAATGCATAGAGCGGGCGGCGAGGCCATTCCTGGGCTAGCGCGTCCTCGCTCCTTGAGAAAAATATTGGGCAGTGAGCGTTCTCTTCTGACGCGAAGAGGTCCACCTCTGCTCTGCCGAATAGCCGCCACAGTATTTGGACCGTTTGTGTGTTCAGGGACCATTCTCCTGAGGAGATGAGGTTCCTGGACAGTATGTCTGGACCGTCGTTCAGATGGCCCGGCACATGCGTCGCTCTGAGCGAGAGCAGGCGCCTCTGAGACCAAACTAAAATGCGGTGTGTCAGTAGGAAGAGATTCCTGGACCTGACACCGCCCTGACGGTTGAGATAGGAGACCACAGCCATGTTGTCCGAACGGATCAGGACGTGGTGTCCTCGAATGAGCGGGAGGAAGCGCGAAAGCGCGTTCTCGACCGCAAGCATTTCCAGACAGTTTATGTGTAAGGGGCTTTCCTGTGTCGACCAATGGCCGAAGGCCGGTGAGCCCTCGCAGACTGCACCCCAACCCGTGTTGGATGCATCTGTCGAGATGACTTTTCGGCGGGAAAAGGTCCCCATCGTGACGCCCTGTCGAAACCATTCTGCTACTGTCCATGGCTGCAGCGCCGTGAGACATGTCTGCGTAACTCTGATCAGCTGGCGGCCCGTGTTCCACGCGCGGTGGGGTACACGGCTGTTTAACCAAAGCTGAAGCGGACGCATGTGCAGAAGGCCCAGCTGAAGCACAGCGGAGGCTGAGGCCATGTAACCCAGCATCCTTTGAAAAGTTTTCAGAGGTGTGCGGGTGCCCATCTGAAACGAGGCGGCCAGTCGCTGTACACTGCGCGCGCGCTGTGTAGACAGGCGAGCCGTCATCGTGACCGAGTTCAAATCTATTCCTAGAAAGGAAATCGATTGACTGGGTTGAAGGGAGCTCTTTGTCCAGTTGACAGAGAGGCCCAGCGTTTTCAGATGGTCGAGGAGAACTGCGCGGTGCGACAGAAGCTCCGTCTGTGATTGGGCCAAAATCAGCCAGTCGTCCAGATAATTCAATATGCGCAGCCCCTGGCTCCGCAGGGGGGCGAGCGCCGTATCCATGCACTTCGTGAATGTACGGGGCGCCAGGGATAAGCCGAACGGGAGAACGGCGTATTGATAAACATGACCCTCGAAGGCGAAACGTAAGAATGGCCTGTGACGGGGATTTATCTGGATCTGAAAATAGGCGTCTTTCAGGTCTAGAGAGATGAACCAGTCCCCCTGGCACACCTGCGCGAGGAGTTTCCTGGTAGTGAGCATCTTGAACGGTCTCTTCATGAGCACTTTGTTCAAAGACCTGAGATCTAAAATCGGTCTGAGGCCGCCGTCTTTCTTGGGAACCAGAAAATAACGGCCGTAAAACCCCGACTCGGTCATAGATGGTGGGACTCTCTCTATGGCGCCCTTCTGCAACAGCGTCGCAATTTCTGAGCGGAGCGTGCCGGCGGCCAGCGGGCTGACAGTAGATTCGAGCCGCGCGCGCACGAGGCGGGCGGCGGCGAAACTGTAGCAGATAGCCGTTCTTTATAATGCTTAGCACCCACGGGGAAATGCCTGGAATGGCTTCCCACGCTTTGGAGCATGCGGCTAGTGGCCGAATGGCTATATCGCCCTGATTGCTGCACATAGCGGGCTGGACACAGTGTGTGGGCGCGCTTTGAATGTGTGTGGCAACGGGATTTGCACTCAGAGAGGAGTCTATGGGCCGAGAAACAGAGCGAGCAGAGAGGGGACACGCGCACGAGCTCGTGGGCGTGTTTATGTTCTCTGATATTAGAGCGGGCTGTGCCCGTTTCATGTGATGGGGCTCTGAGAGAGACACGGGATATGTTATGCTTGTGTGTATGGGTGAGCACATGATTGTGGGCACATTTTCTACACAACTGGCAAATTTTCTCTTTTTGAGATTTCTCTGGGTAGCCGTAAAAACGGCTTTTTGTCGCTCGCAAGCGGGCTGGGACACCGGCTTGTTTGTGGCGGTCAACACTACAGCAGTCGGCGAAACAACGGGGACTGGCAGAGGGCGAAGCTTTGACGGCGGTCCGGCCGCAGCGGGAGAGCACCGTCGTTTTCTTAACTTTGCTAGGCAGACTTCTGATGATCAGGCTTCAGCGTGATCTTGGGTCGCAGGCCCCGTGGGGGCGGCGGTCTGCGGCGGCTGTCAGAGCGAGAGCGAGGGCGGCCGCCCTGTCTGCGCTGGGCTGTTTGAGTCTGCGGAGGGGGGCGCTGTGGTGGAGCTCTGGCAGGAGGCTCGCGAGAGCGGCCCGCGGAAGAGCTAGCGCGGCGGGGCAGAAACAAATTCATGGCCTGAGTAGCTTTCTGGACCTCGGAAAAGCGATCGACGATTCCCGTGACAGCAGATCCAAAAAGGCCCGTCGGGGAGAGGGGCGCGTTAAGAAACGCGGCGCGCTCAGAATCTCCCATGTCGGCGAGCGTGAGCCATAAGTGTCTCTCGGCTACACAAAGGCTGGCCATGCATCTCCCCAGAGCTTGTGCGGCGGCTTTAGTGGCGCGAAGGGCGAGGTCCGTAGCACTTCTCAGATCCGTGACAGCGGGGGAGGGGTTTCTACCGCTTTCGGCCCACTCACGGAGAATATCGCTCTGTAACACTTGGAGGACAGACATAGAATGTAGCGCTGCGGCGGCCTGACCGGCGGCGGCGTAGGCGCGAGCATGAAAGCTCGAGGTCGCTCTGCAAGCTTTCGAAGGAAGCGTGGGGGAAGAGCGCCATCTAGCAGAGGGCGGGCAGAGGTGTGCGGCGACCAAGTCCTCAACGGGCGGCATGGCTGAGTAACCTTTTTCGGCGGCTCCGTCCACCGAGCGCAGCGAGGCGGATATATCGGAGCGGTTTCTAGCCGAGAGCGGGGCATTCCAGGACTTCGTCAGCTCTGTGTGAAGTTCAGGCAGGAATGGGGCGGCCTGGTTGCACGCGGGGGTCGAGCGCCGATGAAAAAAGCTGCCGTCCATCCGGTTCGGGGCCTGCTCGGGTGGAGGAGACCACTCGAGACCGAGGCGTTCGACGGCCTGTGAGAGGAGGCGCATTAGTTCCTCCTCTATCCCGGCGCGGATCCCCGCCGACTCTCTCGTGGATCCGAGAGATGACCATTCTTCACTGTCTGACGCGAGCAGTGAACAGGAATCCTTCTCCTCCGCGGCGTCATCGGAAGCGACAGAGCGGCCACTCGGCGGCAACTGTATGTCCGGCAGGGGCGGGGAGGGAGAGCGGGAAGCGGGAAGCGGCGGCGGCGGCCCGCATGGTTCCGCAGGGGGCTCCGGCGGCCTCTGGGAGCGGCGTTTCTTCTTACGCGGCGAAGAGGGAGGCGGCGCGGGAGCGGATTTTGCTGCCAGAAGTCGTGCCCGCAGGGACGACAACGGCAGGCTCTCACAGAAGTCGCATCCTCCATCCGCGAGGGCGAGTTCTGCGTGCTCGAGTCCCAGGCAGAGAGCGCAGATGACATGGCGGTCTCCGTCCTCGAGAGGAGCGCGGCAAGAGCCGCAGGAAAAACGAGACATCTTTAAAAAGACGCTCGGCTCTTTTAGATATATAGAGAAAAGAGAAGGATACAGTCGTCGGATTGCGCTAGCTTGCAGGGCGGCTGAAGGTGGCGAAGACGGCCGGCTTCTTCAGGGTCCGGGAGCTCGCTAGAGTGATGCCTTCTCGACGGCGACGGCTTTTCTCAGGACAGCAGAAGCGTGCAGCTTGCTGAAGATGAAATGAATCAACATATAAGCCTGGGAGAGACTGTTATATACACCATAGCCACGCCCATTCTGGCGGGCCATGACGCAATGAGCGCGCGGGCGCCTCTCATTGGAAGCGGGTTCAGCCCCGCTCTCCCATAGGCTTAAGCAGTTCTCTCTGAGCGAACCAATGAGCTGCTTGCTAGCCTGCTCTAGGTCTGCCGCAGAGGAACTGCGTTGTCAATGGATACAAATTATGAAATAATTTTTTGGCTTCAAACTCTCAGCAAAGATGAATCTTTCCCACAGCGTAAGCTAGCTTACGCAATACGAGAGAACCTCTCGTAAGAGAACTAATGCTATCACACATTTTTATCACACACGTCAGCCTATACATTTCCCCCCTCCCCTCTATTTTCATTGGTCCACTGGATGGGTAATTCATTGATTGATTAGGTCAGGTGGGATAATTCATTATGCTGATAAGTTGTATAGTTGTATATTTTGTTGTTTGCCTGACGAAGACCCTGTGGTCGAAACGTTTCAAGTAAATGAATAGCAGTGTGCCAGTTGTTTTGTATTTTCTTTAAACATTGAAATGTGCCAGCAGTTCACAGTCTCTGCTCCATCTCAACAGAGGGTGATGTTACAGGCTCTCCTATCATCTGATCAGGCAGTGCTGTGGCCACCTCCTGACACTCATGACTAATTTAAAGCAGGAAGCTGCAAGCATACACCAGTCTTGCCAAGTCACCATGGCAGCAGTAAGGATGGGTGAAGGGAGGGGGGGTTGTTGTCCCTGGGGACCTGCTTCCGAAAAGAAGACGCACCAGTAAAGATGCCTCGCACACAGCAGAGCTGCAGGGAAGGAACGCTATTCTCCATGGCTAATGTCATGCTTCTCATCTTACTTCTTCTCTACTGTGATGGGATGAACACAGGTTTGGCACGTCTGCTTGTTAGTCTAGTGTAACATTAGGGCAGTGTTATGTTATTTTCAAGCTTTGACATGATGACCTTGCTATCAGTTAGACTGAACCGAAGTCCTCTAGACTGTTATTCCAGTGTTTCTAGGGGATGTTAAAGTAATTGCACTATTCCTGAATCTGTTTATTATTCAATAAGCTGAGGCTTATTATAGTAATGCAAATCTAATTTAACCTTGACTAGGCCTATCTCTCTAGAAGTGAGTTAGTGTAAATTCAATGGAACATTTGACATTTGAATATGTCACGTTGTCTTTTTTTTTCTTTTCTTTTTTTTTTCAGAGACGACCTCTTCCCCAGAGTCTGATCCTGTAATTACAACCAAAAAAGCTGTATTTAAAGGTACGGTTTCCCTGTCATATCTTATTAGCCAACACAAGCGTGCATTTGACATCAACGGATGTATTTAAAAGTGTACAAATGATTTTAAAAAAAACTAATTTAGTCATCATAAATCGCTGAATTTACTTTACATACAGTAATTGCAAAGAAGAGGTTTGTTTTGCTGATCCGGCTACAAATGTTTTGGCATACAGGTCAAAGTCAAGTCATTATTGAAGAGCTTACAATCCTGACACCCCAATATATAGAGCTTTTATGTAACTTAACTGATTTACCAAATAACCCCCTGTACATTACTGGCTATTGGACTAAAGATGGACAAGAAATTGAAAACTCTGAAGAAACTGTAAATAGAAACAATGAACAGTATATTCTTAAAAGGACGTAAGTGGATGTCTATTTACACAAAATGATTATATGTCATTTCTATTAAATGTCGAAATAATGCAGAAGTAAACAAGAAATTCAGTACTAAACAATGACTTTGACTGCTGTTGTTTAACCTTCCTTCATAGTTTCAGTATACAGACCAGAGACCTGGGGAATTATTCATGCATCTTCAGAGAAAATGAGGCACAAGTAACATTTGTTTTAAATGGTATGTTTATCCTTTTATGCACATCTTGGAATGGTTTTCATATTTACCATTGTTCGAGATTTTGCCGGTTAAACTGATGTATTGTGCTTTTCCTCAAGTTCCGGTAATGAAAGACAAAAGAGACAAGCCGATTGTGAGCTACATTGGAGATTCAGTTGTACTCGAGTGTAAACTCAAACACACACCAAACACATGGAACTGGTACAAGGCAAACAACACTGAAAAGGTGAATCAGAAATGGGGAATGTGGGATTGATTATTACCACACAATAAAAGGCTTATTCATATACAGTCTTATTTTATATACTATTAGTATCTATTCATATTTTGAATTAGCTTTTATGTTTATAATTTTCTTTTTTCTTAGTTTTAGGAATTTAGTCATTTTTTGGGGAAATGTTTTTTATTAGTTTTTCTATTTTTATGGATTCACTATTTTACAGTACATAGTTACCCAAGAAAGTACTGATAATATAAGGTAGGTTTAGGAGTAGGTTTAGGGTTAGTACCATTGGTTAGTACCTAGTTATAACACAGTTATTGTAATTGATTAGTGCATCGTATGTACATGGGGAACATGACCGTAAAATAAAATAAAATAAAATCTTTATTTAATTTTTAGTTAGTTTTGGTAACGCATTACAACAAGACAAGGTTTAATTTGTTAACATTAGTTCACTACATCAAGCAAACATGCATTAACAATGAAACATGCTTCTAAAGCATTTATTAAATTCAGTTCACATTCGTTTTAATTGAGATTAATACAAATTTACATTTAATTAAAAAAAATTATTACATTTTAAAATTGACTATATTTATTGGACCTTATTTGATAGGTTTACCAAGGCAGCATTTTTTTTCATCTAATATTTATATTTGATATTTCATCTTTATTTCAGTTAGTGAAAATGATTTTTAGTTGTGGTTTAAGTTCTAGTTAACAATAACACTGTTCATATCAATATTTTTCTCTTCACAGGTGTTCATCAATGTCACTGCAAACCCTCTGAACTACAAGATCCTTAATAATGGAACTATAACAAAACTGACTGTACTGAATCTGACTGAGGAAGATTCTGGAAAGTACATCTGCAGTGCTGAGTTTGACATCAAACCCAGCGAGTCGTATGTGGAGCTGAAGGTCATGTCGTACACTGAGCCTCTCAAACCCTTCATAGCCATAGTGGTTGAAGTCGTTGTCCTGGTCACACTGATTTTGCTTTGGGAAAAATGCAACAAGCCACAACAGAACGACTCATCTGGAGGAGGTACAGTAATACTTCAATGATTAATAGGAAGATCGTCGTTCATATTTATATGGAGCTGTCACAAATGTAAATTCTCTGCAAATTTTCCTTTTGCAGAGAATGATGTCTACTCTGAACAAACCAGAAAACTGTAAGTGCATTTTCAGATCAGTTCACTGAAGCCTGATGGTAAAATAGGTAGACTTGTTCCGAGTTTTTTCAGACATTGTTAGTGATGGTGCTGATTTCTGTTCTAGCACTCATGATGACAGCAATGGATTTGAGAACAACACGGCAAGACAAAGAAAACCGGAGCACTAAGATTTTCATTAAATCAGATGAAAGAGCAGCGTGTGATTATATAAAACATTTTTATTCTGCTTTTTAATTCTTGTGGTTTGAATCACATAAGCAATAAGGTTTTTTGTTGGCCAAGGCAATATCCTATATCATATATATTTACATTCCTAATATTAAATGTTTTAAAACAGCATGTTTTCATACTTCAACATAGTGCTATTGTAAAAGTTTCAGGGTTCATATGACCTATTTTGGACATCAGTTTAATAAGAAAGGTCAACTAATGATGAAGCTGATTCCCGAAGGCTTTATTTAAGGGTTAGATCACTTTATATGATGAACATACTTTAGGCTTTCATTCAAATAACATTTATCACCGCACATGCATAAAAGTCAATGGAAGCTCAGCTGTGCTTGTTTGACAAGCGAGGACCAATAGGGTTTGTTCATCATGTAAAGTGATTGTGTCTCTTCAGAAGACTGGATAACTTATATGATGCCTTTTTGCACTTTGTGAAAGTTTTGGTTGTGCGGGCTTTCAATGGACGGACGTAAATGAAGAGCAAATATTAAAAACATCTTAATTGCCTTTCAAAAATAAAAGTCTTATGGGTTTTGGAACACCATGAAGGTGGCTTGTTTCAGGAACACTTAATATTCAGCAATATTACTGATTTGAATGCAGACACTATCAGATGAGAACTGAACTGAGCAGGGCTGCGTTTCCCAAAGTTGATTGTAGAGACCATTGGTGGCATTTGTTCTACAATCAAATTAAGCTTACGATGCTTTTGGGAAACACTGCCCTGGATGATGACATCACTTCTTTCTGCAGAGCTGCTTTATAGATTTCATATTTTATGTACAACACTGAACTGATTAATATCGGTTCGCTATTGTCTTTTTAGAGCTGCTTTACAGCAGAGTTGAACTCTGCTTGCATCATTGAATCGTTATTTTCCTGTTATCACTGTAAAGCTGTTTTGAAATAATCTGTATTGTATAAAGCACTAAATAAAGGTGACTTGAATCCGAAACAAAATCTTCTAAAAACATCTAGTTTTTAAATCAAACTTGAATGGAGACAAAAACTACACAACTGTATATATACTGTTTATTGACACACACAGAACAATCATAACATATATCCATGCTTCAGCGTTCTCACTGTGGTTTGTTCAACAGAAACTGCAGCATCAGTCTCAGAACTGCATCATTCCAGCCCACTATGTCTCCATCTGTGACTCTCTCATACAAGCGCATGCTTTCTGTGCCCCAGCATAAGTTCTTCCTGGCATTGTTGCCATCAGCCCTTGGACTCAGAGCCAAAGTATTGAGCTGATAGCAGAAAAATGAGAAGAACTGCCCATCTGTGATGACAGCCTGAGACACAAACGGCCTGCTCACGTCCTCTTCACTCCAAAAGCCTTGGCAGAACAAAACATATTTAGTTAAGGAAGAAATACTTTTTTTGTTTATAATAGAGATCACGATTCTAATTGGACAACTAAATATGTTATTACTAGAGGTTCTGACAAAATGTTAATTGCTATAGTCCATTTAAAAAAATAATTAATTTGAATTATTATTTTTAATCCATTTAAATAAATGATTCAATGACTCGCTCATATTCATTACTGGCATTATTTAATAAAAATTAGATCTAAATACTAACCTTGATACATAGCCTGTGCCCCTGTCCATGCAAACAGGCTGGCAATACCGTTCGCTCTTAGAGACACCTCGACTTGATCAGAGAGGCCTCTCTTGCTCATTTTGTCCCTGCGAAACCTATCCGGGACCATGTGAAACTGTGTGTGGCCGTAGCAGCATGGATCTTCCAGTTTGGCGCCTGTGGAGTAAAACAACATGCACATACTTTCAGCATAATTAATTTAAATTCAAAACTAATAGTTCATTTCTCATGTACCACTGGCCATAGGAGGCAAAAACCGTTAGGGGAGGCCTCAGTCATTCATTCAATGAGTGAAAAAGAAAGACTGAGAATGAGGCATAATAGAGTTACAATCTTACACAAAGCTTTTCGAAACTTTGAACCAACTGCGTTGCAAAATGATTCAGTTTCGAAGAGCTTGAAACGCCACACGATGGTGACCCCTGCTGGTCAGAACAGTGTAAATGCAGCAAACATGCATAAAACACCTTTTACAAATCAATTGCAAATGTTTTATTGAAGAAGGTGTAGTCAATTAAACGTAATTAACAAATCATCTAATACCATTAAATACAAAGTGTCTTTTTAATGTGTTATCGTAGGGCTTGTTTTGTTTGTTTTATGAAGAGCTTCGTTAATCAGACCAATTAGAGACTTTTGACTACAACTCTTCCTTTTATTTAACAATTGTCTCATCGTCTAAAAAATGATAAAATAGCTCAAAGATCGGGTAAAAGTTATATAGACATGGGTTCACAGAAATCATCGCACTAAAGAGGCGGAACATTTTGAAGCAGTGATGTAAGGATGTCTCAAAATCACGTGACTTTGGCAGTTTGATACATGCTTTGAATCACTGGTTTGAAACAAATGATTGTCAAAGGTTTCGAAGCTTCATGGAGCAGTGTTTCAAAAGCCCCCCTCACTAACTACATGTGTTCTACAACTGACACCAGCAATGTGATAAGACACCAATGCTCAATAAATAGATAAATTACTAATAATACAATGAGTTTTTAATGGATAACAGTGAACACTTCTTTCACTATGTAATTAGTTAATTAGACTAAATATAAATCCTTTACAGTTACCAAGCAACATGGGAAGCTTTTCCATTAATATAAAATGTGCAACATCCAATTACGATTAAGAGTTACAATTATCTATTGCATCATGGGATATCTGAAGACAAAAAAACTGGGAACAGACTAGTGCTGTAAATGTTAACTGAAACGATCAAAAATCATTTTAATCGAAAGAAAGCTTAAAGAAAATATAAATAGACGAAAACAAACTTTTGGCAACTAACTAAAATAAAATGAGTTTAAGTATACAATTACTAAAACTGAAATAAAAATAAATTAAAGCTAAATATAAATATTTAAAAACACAAAACTATAAAAACTAAACCTGAATATATAAAAATAAAAGTTTATTGAAAATATTATCAAATACCATAATATTACGTATATACTAAAATAAGACTAGAACAGACCAACCTATGAAGATGTTGTTGTCATACTGTCTCCTGAACAAGGGGAGCCGGTCAGGAGCCAAACTGATGACAGGAACTTCAGCGGAGATCTCTGCCTCAAGAGGAACAAACTGCAGGAAATGACATCACTCTTAAGCACATATCATACCTTTATGCCATTCCTCCAAAATGTTGCATGACAACAGCAATTACCACAGACTTTGTTAAAGTTACAATTTAAACACTGCCATCATTTAAATTCGCATACATTATATTCATCATAATCATAATGGGAGTATGTTTCCTACCTCAGGTAGTTGTTGTGGGATTCTGATCTGACTGTGAGGTTTGTCATCAATCTGGAATCTCATCGGCTCGATCCGTCCACTCCTGTGTCCTGCTGGAATAGTCCTTTCTCCCCGTAACCAGTAATAGTTGACTTGAGGATCAAAATCTTCACAAAATAATACGAAAATATAGAAATAAGAATTTAAATTACACCAGAATGACCAAAAAAAAACATGATATACTTTTAAGCCAGTATGAAACGGAAGTCTTTTCTTCCCTATTGTGATTTATATCCGAGTGAAATGGCTTCTCGAACAAGAAAAAAAAAATGTAGGGTGGGACTTGATTTTGTCCATCTGGATTTGACTGGATCTTTGGATTGTTGTGGTTTGCTATAGACCAGATTGCGAGCTATATAAAGCTCTAAGATCACTTATTTTCCACTGATCATGTTGTCTGGAGTTTTGTGTTTACTGACATTTCTTGGAAAGATGTTTGCACTGTTTTGTCAGCAGAACAATCCAAAACACATTAAATAACAGTACCCACTGAAGAGATGCACGTCTATCCCTCACAGCCTAGCTTTCATTCAAAGATGGCGCTGACAGAAAAACTAGCCTATATTAAAAAGAAAAAGGTATATTGCTGTGATGTCATGTGCCCCGCCCTCACGCCAGCAATCACGTCATCAGAGAAGAGAAGTCGTTGCAAGAGGGAGGGGAACATTTTTAATATAAGATTACAGGGCGCATTCCTTAAAGTATGTGCACAGATAATCATTCATAATAAACACTGCATTATTACATAAAAACACGGCAATTTTGATTCCATTGTGACTTTAAACAATATAAAGAGAAATCTCACATTACTGAATGAGACACCTGTATATGTTGCAGTAAAGAGTAAACATGGAGGTCAAACTCACCTAAACTAGACAGACTCAGCACGGGGTTTTCTTTGGCAGGAAGGTTTTTTAGAGCACAGACCATGTTCCTTAAAAACGGAGTGACGAACTGCTCTTGCTCTCTGTGGATGAAAGTTCTTCCTTTCTTCAAGTACCAGTGTTCTTGTAAGATGAAGCTGCAGACCACAGATCGCAACTCAGACAACACAGACTCGTCAATCACCGGCGCGGAGTGTATTTCGGTGTATTTCTCTGGCAGACCGCTGAGATATGCGGTTTTGGTGTAGTGCTGGTACCATTTATCCGCGTTGAGAGCAAATGTCTGTGGATAAATCACGTACTTCTTGCGCTGAACGCGAGTGAGTGCGCGGATCTTCTCCTGGACGGGGCGCGCGCGCAGCTGCTCGAAGAACTCAGTGACCACGCGGCCCTTGGCTGACTTACTCTTCGCGGTCCGAGAGGGCAGAATAGGTGGATATAAACTCTTTGCTGTGGAAGTTTCAACTTGGACATTTCTGTTACAGACGAGGCGTGCTGATGTAGTGGAGAGAAAAGGGTGCAAGGGCAACCTGCAGCAAGACGCCATGTTTTCCCCACGTGATCTGTAGAGTTATTCTTGTCATTCAGTGTCACTGTATATAGTTTTCTACTGCCATCTGCTGGAGCGGGTGAGGCGAGAATAAAATGTGTAAGGCCTGGTTTCACAGACAGCCAGTTATAAACTTGCCTTAGAAAAAATAAAACATTACTGGTGTGCATCTTGAAACAACAATGGCTCTGAAATATTTTAAGATATGTCAGTGCAAGTTGCTTTCGGTTAAAACAGCTCTGGTGCATTTTAGTCTGGGGCTATTTTAAGCCTTCTCTGTGAAACCAGGGGTAAATCTTTTATACACAATTTCTATCCAGCAAATCATTATTTAAAAAGGTATAATATTGAATTTTCTTTAATAACTATCATAAAACCACCTTGCATTTATTTTAGCATTGTACTTATTTATACTGTGGTATGCAGGAATGTATAAGTGGAAAATATGTATTTAATACATTTACTGTAGTTTCATTTTCACAAATGCACGTTTATGAATAAAATTATGTAGCTGTAGATGTAATATATAACTAATGACTAAGAAACTATAAAAATATATTGTTATAGTTGTTTTTGTCTTTTCTAGCCCTTTTTCTGTTATATATTTCTATGCATTTAGTATTTGCAATTAAACCAAAGTGCATAATGTTGTGTTTATTCAATAAAAATGTACAAATCTCACGAAAATATATAATGTTTGATCATCTAAAAAAAATAGATGAAAATAAAATCTGCGTAATGAAAACAATATTTTTACTTGGTAGCTTGGCGACCTTTATTTTGAATTCCGCAGAACTTGAGCACCGGATGTAAACAAATCATCATCATTATCAGCCAGTTATCAGCAGCAGCACATGAGAGTTGATCTTCTATGGAACATGGACGCTGTTTGTCCTTAAACAGTGCAATGACAGCCCGTAGTATTTTACTAACCCGGCAAGTGTTGCCTCTTGGACGTCATTTACGGCGTGCCTTACCCGTGAAGGTGCATAATTTTATCTTTTGCACACTCCGTCAGTGTTTAAGTGCCGTCTGTGTATGCTCTGAATTTGAAGTGCGCCGAAGTCTACTGTAAGCTTAATTTAGGAGAGATGATGTTGCTAAAAGTTTGTTTGTTTGCTTGTTTGTGTCAGAGCTTCTGCTCTTCCACGCGTGATGAGGTTCGCTTGGCAAAGGAGGCCAGCAAGAAGTACGGAAAACCGGAACCCACTATATTTTCTAAAATAATTGACAAAACTATTCCTGCAGTTATCATTTATGAAGACGAGAAGGTAAAGTTACAGACCACAAATCTTTAGTAACTTTGATTAATATAATTGTTCGGTAACATTTTGTGATTTTTTTTTGTACGTATTAATTTGTAAACAGTTCATAAATTAATAGTTTGCATGTCAAATGTGTTTTGTTGCAGTGTCTAGCATTTAGAGATGTAAATCCTCAGGCTCCTGTTCATTTCCTGGTTATTCCAAGGATTCCCATTCCCAGGATCAGTGAAGCACACAATGATGATGCACAGGTCTGTCACAGGTTTTTTGCATAGTAATTACAGAGTATGATACACCTCTAAAATATTGATATTTTTCCACCCAGCTCCTGGGTCATCTCTTGATTGTGGCCAAAAACATAGCGAAGAAAGAAGGACTGGATGAAGGGTACAGAGTTGGTGAGTGAAATAGCCTTTGTTTGAAATGGGTTTATTTAGCATCTGTATTATCTTTATATCTGCAGTACATTTAGCGTAGTACACTATAATACCATGTCATTAGCTGTAATGTATGTAATAATTGCTTAATTATGTGTCATTATTATTTACAGTCATTAATGATGGAAAAAATGGGGCGCAGTCTGTGTATCACCTTCACATTCATGTTCTTGGAGGACGGCAAATGAAATGGCCTCCAGGATAGATGGACCTACTGTCAGAATAAAAGTAATTTTCTGCATTTTTTTGGAGGAGATTACTGATCTAAAAACTTTTTAAAACGGTTGGATATTATCAAAAAATGTTTGTCAGATAATGAGAGAGTGGAAAAATGTAATACTGTTACATTAAAACATTTTTACTGGATTTCAGTCTACAGTTGACGTTAATGAGCTGTTGAATAATCTGCATTTAGCTGGGTTGGGTTGACTTTACTAAAGTTTACTGTCAGCAGTGGGTAATAAAAACGTTCCGGTGAGTTTGCAAGGTTGTTGTTGAGCAATGGATATTAAATGCTCAACATATGCCACAAAGTACTGAAAAGAAGGACAGGTACTATATAAAATGCATAATGGGTTTTATTCGTGATATGCAAGCAGAACAAATTTCTTGCAAAACAAAAACAAAAAAACCAACTAAAAATCGTTGCATTCAAGTCAATGGGACTATTTACATATACATGAGTTAATAACATTTTACTGTACACAGCAATTTCCTTTTGCCCATGTTTCATGAATAAGGGCTAAAGTGTTTATACCATGAAGACACATTTTAGGATGTGCTGGAAAAAAAAAGATCTAAAATCTTGCATTCGAACCGGTTTGGCCTCAGCTAAGGTCATCCTGTAGAGCTGTTTCACTGGTGACGGGTGGTGTGATCAAGTGACCTTGGTGGCCAGTCTGCATGTTTCTATGGCTCATGCACAAGTGTTTATATTAACTGAACTTTCATCTTATTTGCTGAAACATCAGATGCATCGGTACAGTTCAGGCATCAATGTCTGTGCTGACTAGAAGAAAAAAATGTATAACAATCCCAATATTTTAAACATAAATGACTTTCATTGTCTTTTGATTATTTTAAAACATGTAAATTCCATCTCAATTCAACAAAATACATTATAATTAAATTGTCCACAATTGTCTTATCATCAATAATGAGTTTTGCTTTATCTTAACCGCTCAGATACTTTAATCTTAATCTCTCAGCTCTTTCATAGTATCTGTACTGGTTATAAGTGTATCTACGTTGTGGCCTTGGAGCTTGTATGACACAATCTTAATGAATAACATGCTGATCAGTTGCCAAAACACTATATTTACCAGAAAGCGGAAATAACAAAAGCAGGCCTGCAAACTCAAATTAATGAATCAATATTAACACAGACATTTGCTGTCGTTGAGATGTAGCTACTGCAAGCTTTATGCAAATGCCGTGAAATGCAACCTAAATAGATTTTATAATGCAAATTGTATTGAAATATCTCACAATATTTACATGACGTGCCACACATATTGTCAAATTTCTTTAATTTACTGTTTAATGTCTGTGACAGACATTCGTTATTGTAGTTCATATAAAGTTGTATGTTTTGCGTGTTGTTTTTCTTTAATATAAAAAAGTAAGCCTATGGGTTCGACAAACGTCTAATTTAGATTGCATTTATTCGTTTATTATTTTTTATTTTTTTTCATTTAAAACGTTTAGTGTGCTGTGCCGATTAAATCGTTTATTTAATAATGGAAATGTGAGCGCAGACACAGCACAATATATAATCTGACACGTCATGTGACGATTACACTGCGGTCCATAGGTTTGAATGGAACACCAGGTGCCCTGTAAGTTCTTACTGCACCTGCTACTGTAACTGCACAATTCCAAGTCATCAACATAAGGACTGACAGAGGGGGAAAAAGCACAAACATGTAAGTAGTCTTCACTTTTTTTATAGTTATACATTAACGACGCATTTGTTACGAAGATCATTTGTTTACTTAAAACGAATCTGTCGCGGTAAAATTGAAAGTAGCTACAAAATGTAGATCAATGTTAGATAAAACTAGTGTTGTTTTGAGTGAAATTTAGTGGCTGTTTCCACTGTAATTTACAACATACAGTGTGACAGTATGCCTATATATGGCTTTTTTTTTTACAGTTTTCATTGACTGTATATATTTTTTTTCCTCTGGGTAATAACAGTGTAAATGTAAAAAAAAATAAGGTGCGCCTATACAGACACTTACTTTCCAATTAAACCCATCTGGGTAAAAACTACTGACCGCTAGCCCTGATCTCCCTCCGTTATTTTACAAAAAAGTGTTCAAGCTGCACTCATCAGGTGGTCTGTTATAGTGTGCGCTATAGAACTGCTGCAGTTTTTAAAATGATTTTTTTATCCATAAAGCTTTGATTCAGTACAATATCATGGTATTTGTAAAAAGCTGCTTAAGTGAATGAGTGAACATTGAACATGACACCTTCACTCACACTACTTTTAAGTACAGATTAGGATCTGATTCCTTAAGGCCATCAAATTATTTCACAAGATTATACTTGAGCATATTTCCTTCTCCTTGTCAGTAATGACCTGTGACAGTCTCAGAGTTTTTTTTTTTCACATCTGTGTACAAGTTCAAAATGACAAAGATCATGATGTGGCCACACTTATGTTGTAATTATGATGAACTTTGTCATTTTGCAATCTTGAGTACAGTCTAGTGATGAACTTCTAGGTAGCATTACAAGGATTTGAATTTTATTTCTGAACTTAATGAACTGTTTTATGGAATTCAAGGCAAATGTCAGAAGCTTGACATCTTTTGAGTAGGCCTACCTTATTCTAATTGCCCGATATACCACAATCACAAATATAAGATGTGACTTTTCAAAATGCAACGTCCAATCTACTCAACTTAATTGTCAAATATATAAGCAATACATTAGACATACTCTAGATGGCACACTTGTGTAAACCTCAGGAAGCACCAAAAGAGCCATTTCTCATTTGTAAATCAAGATTTAAAGACATGCACATTTGCACATTCGACTAGCCTGTCTTAAACAGTTTCCTAATGTAGACGAAAGGCCAGTGTTTCACAGAAACCCTCTCTTCTGCTGCTTTCATCATCTGGCACTGTATCCACTGGCACATATTGCTAGTATTTTGCAAGAGTTGGGGTACATATAAAGATAAATGACATTTTGAAACCACTAGTGTTAGAGTCTCGGCCAGTTTTGACTGAAAGGAAGACATTGGACATATTATATTTTCTTTTAATATTGCATTTGGTCGCTACTTTGTGAGCCCACGTTTTTGGAGTTTTGTAAATAATTTTACTTTTTTTTGGTCATTTTAAGACTCTGTACAATGTCTGCTGATGAGTGTATACCACCCGGTGATTCCAAGGAAATTCCTGTCTCTGGAAATGGGTATGTAGACTTAATCAATGAAATATGGAATTTATGTCCTCCAATATTTAATACTTGATAATTTACTGCATATTTTCTTTTTGCTGATCTATATATTATGTTATCATGACAGAAGTCTCACTTGTCTTTCTCCTTAGTTCTGTTAAAACTGAGGAATATCAGACTGTAGCACTCCATGACTCCAAAAACCACCCAAATGGAAATTGTTCATTCTCTGTAAAGAGTAACACAGGTACAGTCTTCACATGAATATTCCCAAAATGTTTACATATTGAAAATCCAACTGTTTTGCATACATTCTGAGAAATATACAGTACCCATCAGTCTTGTTCTACTTGCTGGCAAATATACAGAAGATTATTTACACATAGATTCTTGTGAAAATGACATTATTTTGTTGGTGAATGTCACTTTTTTCACATAAAAACCAGATCTAGGTCAGTGTATTGTAGAAACACACACACACACACACACACACACACACACACACACACGTAATATAAAAATAGTATATAAAATGTATGCATGTGTGTGTTTGTTTGTGTACCTACTATTGTGTACCATATTTTGGGGGACAGATTTTAGGGATGCACGATATATCCACCATATCGGTATCGGCTGATATATGATCATTTTTTAATGTTATCGTTATCGGCCCGATAAGAAATTTAGGCCGATATATTAAAGCCGATAAATAGTGGATTTTTTCCCTTTAGCTGAGACGCTTCAGATGCACACTGTTCTCCATGATGGTTTTGAAATATGATTTGAATCACTTCAAAAAAGGAAAATACAGTTAAGTGCAAAATGCGCAGTCATTTCTGCATGTGTCATGTGGGCTACATAAAATTATAATGAGAACATTATTATTGTGTGCTTGGGACATGGATTTTAATGGTGAGACTTTTGTTTTTGTAATCAGGCTCTCAAAAATTATATAAAAAATTGGATTTAGATTTATCGGACAATATATCAGTTATCGGCTTTCAAATATAAAGAATTATCGGTTATTGGAATTGGCCAAAATTTTCATATCGGTGCATCCCTTACAAAATTGTACCCAGAAGTGAGTTAAACCTGACAAAAACTCCTCTTGGGTATATCCTCATTTGTAAAAACAGCATAAAATACAGCAAATACAGTTAAGTTTTCTGTTAGGTTACAGTATTTATAACTAGCTGCATATTAAAAACAATAGAATCTTTGCAAGTCCCCATAGCCTAGTAAATGTGTGTGTGTGTGTGTGTGTGATTTTATAGTAATATTAATAAATATCTAAATAATACATTTAACAGTAATAATTATTATTAAAATAATAATAACATTTAACTTATCAATGTAGCTGCAGCAGATACTGTATGTAGATTTGTAGCCCACAACATGTAAATGCACTAGTTAATAATAGAAATAGATTTTTTTTTTTTTTACCAGTTGTGATTGGTGTTGTGAAACAGTTGTGACCAAACCTGATTGGTGAGACACACACACCATATCCTGTCAGTAACCTGACCTATTTCTGCACTCTTGTTAGGCTGTCAGTTCGTCTGCGTTTTTCTGAATGTGTGATAGGAGACGAGGCCAGGTGCTTGGATGGACTGATCTGTTCTTGCTTAGACACATACAGAAGCGTCATCCATAAATATACAATTCCTTTCAGAAGCACTTTTAACATATGGTCATGTCTCCTGTGTGTCCCTGCTGTCCTGCTCATAAAGACGATGAACCGGCTATACCATTGAAGAATGAAGATGTGCGTCTCGCTCCAGCCGAGGAGCTGTGGAGCACAGTCAGAGACAAGGCTGTCAAACTGAGGATGAACGCTTCAGAACTCAGCTCAGAACCTCCCATGACGGTCCATCAGATGTTCATGGCTACAGTGCAGAAGTACGGAGACTCTCCCGCTCTCCGTGCGAAGAAAGACGGAGCATGGGTCACCCTGACCTATAAGGAGTACTATCAACATTCAAGAGCGGCAGCCAAAAGCTTTCTGAAGGTAAGAGTTCACATCTTTTTTTATTCTTTGAAAATTAATTTCAAATGTTTTTCAGAAACACTGTGTATGAAAAGAACTGGGTAACACTTTACAATAAGGTTCATTAGTTAACATTAGTTAGCATGAACTAATAATGAACTGCTCTTATACAGCATTTATTAATCTTTGTTAATGTTAATTTAAACATTTACTAATACTTTATTAAAATCTTGTTAACATTAGTTAATGTACTATTAACTAACATGAACAAACAATGAACAGCTGTATTTTTATTAACTAACGTTAACAAAGATTAACAAATACAGTAACAAATGTATTGCTCAGGGTTAGTTCATGTTAGTTGATGCATTAACTAATATTAACTAATGAACCTTATTGTAAAGTGTATTGTATAGCTATACTTCATACATGGAATGTGTTGTGGTGCAAAAAAACAAAAAAATGCTATTGTCGGATGTTTAAAGGGATACTCCACCCAAAAATAAAAATTCTGTCATCATTTACTCACCCTCAAGTTGTTGCAAACCTGTATGAGTTTCTTTCTTCTGCTGAACACAAAGGAAGATATTTTGAAGAACGATTGGAACCAAACAGTTGTCTGGCACCATTGACTTCCATAGTAGGAAAAAAAATACTATGGAAGTCAATGGTGCCAAAGTTCCAATCGTTCTTCAAAATATCTTCCTTTGTGTTCAGCAGAAGAAAGAAACTCATACGGGTTTGGAACAACTTGTTGTTGAACTTTGGTGAGTCAATTATGACAGAATTTTTATTTTTGGGTGGAGTATCCCTTTAAAAACGAAGATATTCTAAATATGTCTTTTTTATCTATAAGTTTATCTAGCATATTTGTTTTTGAAAGTCCCTTTGAAATTTGAATGATATATCCTATCATTTGTGTAATGATTAAACTATTGGCTTAAGGCATTAAGGAGTCAAAGCTTTTACAACTCTAGTTTCATTGTTGTGTCGAAGCTCTAAACAACACTAAGTGATGAATTGCTTTTGCATATATTGAGTCAATATGCTCTTTGTGTACTCTAGCTTGGCCTGGAGCGATTCCATGGTGTCGGTATTCTGGGCTTCAATTCTCCTGAATGGTTTATAGCAGATGTCGGATGTATCCTAGCAGGGTATTGACTGTTCATCTCTTAAAAGCTAATCTTCAAGTTAGACAATGAGGAAAAGACTTGAGAATAAGTGATTATGGAATGTAGGATCAGATAAAGTAGCTGTGTGAACTAACAGTATATCTCTTGTTTCGTCACAGGGGACTGGCCACTGGCATCTACACCACTAACTCTCCAGAGGCCTGCCAGTATGTTGCTGATAACTGTGAAGCTAATGTTCTGGTGGTTGAAAACAACAAGCAACTGATCAAAATCCTCCAGGTAGTTTGAAAATGAACAGTATTTTATCTTTTTATCTTTTATCAAATTACGAATGTACGGAGCCCTGGGAGTCACCTGTAGAAAGAAAAAAAAAGTCCCACGGATGTGGCCACAGTTTTGCAAATAATATATATGGTATATATTTATATATATATATATATATATATATATAAAACTTAGTTTACCAAGTTAATAATTTCAGTAAAATATTGGATTACCATTTTATCTTGAGTGTGTAACAATTGGAGCTTTTCCACTGCATGGTACGGCACGGTACGGCTCGCTTTAAATGGTACCACCTCTGTCGAGGTTCCAAGCGTACCGTACCGATACTAAAATGTGACGTGAACACACTGCAGATCACTGATTGGTCAGACAGAATCGTCACTACCAGCGTCATTGTATTTGCGAGACATCAAACCCGCTAGATTTAAATAGCCAGTAACAGCCACCGCTGTTCTTCACAAAGAACCGGCAAAAGTAATGATTATGAATATGTAAAATATAGCAAGGAGATATTTTATTTGTTTATTAATAAACAACTGTTTTCTTTGTCTGCTAAGATGAAGTTGACGATGCTGACTCGCAATCTTCAGTAGCCTAGTGAACTCGCCAGAGAGAAATGCACATTTCATAAGGATTACATAAGCAGAGAGCAGTCTGTAGTCTGTTTTCTTTCGTTTTGAATTGTTCTGTTTAAAAGTAGACATGTGTGGCAAGTAGGCTACCTTCTGCTGAGTTTCGGTTCATTTATGAGACGAGCTCTAATTCACGCGCCGGCGCCTCCGTTTCTGATTATCTATCGTCTGCTATATTTACTTCTTATTTATTAAATCCAGGCAATTGGTTGATGAAACATTCATTAAAATTAAGATACAATTAATACAAAACGAAATTCAGGTTAAAGAAAGGTTTTGTGCTTTCTGTTTGATGTCTGTGAAAGTTTTAAAGCATCTTTTAGTGCCGCTTTCAGAGCGCTCACGTCCGTAACATTGTTTTTTCCTCATAAATGCGAACACGAAAAATAAAATAAAATAAAATGAATATTTTATGTACTGTGGAGACTGAGAGCCAACCCTTCTTCATCCGGTGGGTAGTATTACTTTGGTTTGCGCAGTATAATTCACATAATCACTGAAAAAATATTTTGCCTCCAAGTTTATTTATTTTTTAAGCAATCAGAAATCTGAGGGCACTGCTATAATCCCACCCACTTTGAAGCAGTACTAACTGCAGTGGAAAAGCAAACCGATCTAAGGCGAACCGAGCCGTGCCGTGCTGAGCCGAGTCGTATCACGAAGTGGAAAAGCGAAGCGAGCCCAACCGTACTGAGCCGTACCGAGCCGTACCAGCAGTGGAAAAGCGCCAAAATGAGTTAAAAGCAGATGAATCATTTATTCATTACACCACCTTAAAAAACCCCCACTAAATCTAAATACTTCCTTCAGACATGATCCTTATTATGAATAAGAATGTTCATATAGGGATTTTATCAAAATAATCTTATCAAAAAATGTAACAGTTTTTGTCCTGCTTGAAGTACAATAACCTGTAAGTCTGAAAGTTCTTCTGTGACATTTTACAAAAAGGTTCTGAACGTTAAAGGAATAGTTCACTTCAAAATGAAAATCCTGTCATTTACTCACACTCAAGCTGTTTCAAACCTGTATGAATTTCTTTCTTCTGTTGAACACAAAAGAAGATATTTTTGAAGAATGTTGTTGGTAACCAGACAGTTGAGCCCCATTCACTTCCTACTGAAAAAAAAAAAATACTATGCAAGTCAATGGGGCTCATCAACTCTCTGGTTACCAACATTCTTCAAAAATATCTTCTTTTGTGTTCAACAGAAGAAAGAAATTCATACAGGTTTGAAACAGCTTGAGTGTGAGTAAATGATGACGGGATTTTCATTTCGAAGTGAACTAATCCTTTAACATTAGACAATTCAATAGCTAAGTAAGGGATAATCCATGGCTAGCTGTGCATTAAACTATTTTTAATGCACAGCCTGCATTTTGAATCATATCTTCAGTTCATTGCCTCCACAACGTGCATTAAAATCGTTTAATGGACAGCTAGCTGTGAATTATGCCTTACTTAATGAACTTCCAGCCAATTAAAATTGAGTATTCAGACAGACCATGGTATGACATTAAATAATTATGAACAATGCTTTTGCAGCATTTAATAATGTTGACTAATGTACATTTTTACATACAGTCCCAGTTTTACAGACAGGGCTTATACAAAGCCAGGATTAGGGCATTTAAGTAGCTTTCATAAACGTGCCTTAGGGGGGAAACACATAACTAGAGACGAAACAATGGAACTGACATATTTTAAGATATATCTGTGCAAGTTGCTTTCAGTTAAAACCGCTCAAACTTGCATTTTAGTCTGGGACTAGGCTTAAGTCTTGTCTCCCTGTATTGTAAAACAATACTCCCTATGTAAAGTATTAATGTTAATGAACAAATAACAATAAATAATGTAGTGTGTCTATAGTTTATATATGTATATCTAGTTGCAGCAAACGTTATTTAGAAACAGGAGAAAACCAACACAAAACAGAACATCTATCACAAAACATGCATAGACAAGGACTGACGAAACTGAACTGAAAACACAGGCTTAAGTACACTGGGAAAGATGGGAATTTAACATGGGACAGGTGAGCATAATCAATTAACAAATCAGAAACCATGGAAACAAACAAGCAGAGGAAACAATGGGAACAAATGACACGGGAACTAAACATATTAACAAAACCAAAACTAAACATGATATACTGAATCTTCTCATAAGATACTAATACATTTTCTTTCACTGTCATTATAGGTGAGGGATCAGCTGCCACATTTGAAGGCTATTGTTCAGTACAAGGATGAACTGGATCAGAAGTTACCAAACTTATATACAGTAAGTTTTTGCCAAGTAATACAATAAAACTGCAAAATGTGTCAAATGGTTTTCTGTACAAAACATACAAATGCAAGCTGGAGGTCCACTGATGATTACAGATATGTGTATATATATATACATACATATTGTCATGGAAAGTGAATGTAAACAAGCAAAGCGTTCCATCATGTCTACTAAGCAAATAATTAAATAGTGCTCCTGGTGTATTTGAATATATACATGAATTTGTTCTCTCAGTGGGCTGAATTTATGAAGTTGGGGGAGAATGTCCCTGATGCTGAGCTGGATGCGCTGATAGACAGTCAAAAGGCCAATGAGTGCTGCACATTAATATACACCTCAGGCACCACAGGGAATCCCAAAGGAGTCATGCTCAGCCATGATAATGTGAGTACCACGTATAGTGTCACATAAAGTGACTAGTTCAGCACTTACTTCAATGCCAAATGTAATTAATCACAGATAAACACAGTGTAATTCTTATCATTTTGATGGATAAGTAGTGTTGTTCTTTAAATTCATCCCTCCTCTGTCCAGATCACATGGACAGCCAATTCAGCGGGTCACATGGTCCGGCTGAAGATGGCTGAGGAGGAAGTGGTTAGCTACTTGCCCCTGAGTCATGTGGCAGCCCAAGTCCAAGACATGTGGATCTGCATGAGGTTTGCCGCCGTCACCAATTTCGCCGATCCAGATGCCCTGAAGGTTAAAGTCTTAAGATGTTTACTTTATTTACTTATGGAAAAAATGTATTTGTCTAGATTTCCATTTATTCGTTCAGCAGACACTTCTGTAGAAATGAGGAAACACAAATGAATAACTGGCAGTGTCTTGGTTAAACAATACAGGGCTCCCTGGCCAACACGCTGAGAGAGGTGCGTCCCACGAGCTTCTTGGGAGTTCCCAGAGTGTGGGAAAAAATGCAAGAAGCAATGAAAGCCGTTGGTGCAAAGTCATCAGTCATGAAGAAGAAGATTGGCGATTGGGCAAAGGGAATCGGACTTCAAGCGAGCTATAATGCCATGAATGGGTGAGTTTTTAAAAGAACCACAAATTAATTTATAGATTGAATTATTTGAAAGAAACCCGAAGCTCATTTTATTTCTCTGCAGTGATTATTCAGTGCCTTGGGGCTTCACCTTGGCCAATCATCTGGTTTTCAAGAATGTGCTCAAAGCTCTGGGTCTTGACCGCTGTAAAGCCTGTTACACCGGTGCAGCTCCCATTACCAAAGACACACTGGAGTACTTCATGAGCCTTCACATCCCTGTCTTTGAGCTGTACGGCATGAGCGAGAGCACTGGACCTCACTCCATCTCCTGTGCTGAGGGTTATCGCATTATGAGGTCAGAGGCATGATGTGCCGTGTATATATATACATATTAACATATTTGAAATTACAAAGATGTTGTTATACTCACTTCATGTTGCTCCAAACCTGTGTGATGGTATTATTTCTATTTTCATATGAAACAACCCCCCCCAAAACTGCAAACACTTTATTTCAGGGTATTATATGTATACCTATTATATGTGCTTACTATAGTGTTAGGGTTAGAAATAAATACTGAGTAATATCAATGAACTACGTGTACTTTGCTATGTTTTATACTTTTGTATTTGTTTACTTTTCTCATGTACAGCACTTTGGTCAGTCTTGTGACTTTTAAATGTGCTTTAAAAATAAATAAACTGAAACTATAGGGTTAGGGTTTGGTTTAGGTTTAGTTACAGTACTTAATTATACATACTTTACTGTTATTACCATAGTAAGTACACATAATATGTATAACTATGTCACCTTAAAATAAACACCAGAATATGTCGCGCTATTTAATTGTTTTCGTAATTACAGTGGTCCTATTAACTAAGTGGAGACTTAAGCCACATTAAAAATAGGAACAGGTTTAGAACAACTTAAGGGTGAGTAAATGATTGCAGAATGTACATTTTTGGGTGAACTATCCCTTTAAAATTGAATGACAAAATATACATCTAAGAAAAGTAAGAAAATGTTGTATTTATTTTAATGAAATAAACATTTTGAACAACATATTTTACAAAAAAAGTTATGAAATAGGCCTACAAGTTATAAAATAAAAAAAAAAAAATATTCTTTTAAAATTTAGACAAAACGTTTTCTGGTTCAGGCTTTATAGAACATGTCCATGGTTAATGTGATAAACTCAACCTGTGTGAACTTGGCTTGAAACATCGACTACTGGTTAAAAGTCACTGGATACTTCTAAAAAAAAGTTCTAGTTGCTGATGACAGTCGTATGTGACACATGTTTTTTGTTTTGTTTTTTTCTCCAGCTGTGGTAAGGTGTTGACAGGCTGCAAAACCAAGTTAGATAAACCAGATAGTGATGGAAATGGTGAGATCTGTTTCTGGGGAAGGCATGTGTTCATGGGATACCTGAACATGCCAGACAAGACTGAGGAGGCATTGGATGAAGAAGGGTGGCTCCACTCAGGAGACCTGGGCAAACATGACAGCAATGACTTCCTGTTCATCACTGGCAGAATAAAAGGTAGACCTACACATTTGTACATTTAGGGTGCAACAGTGCCTGTTCACTTTTTTATCAGCCTTGGTTCAATAAGTACTTTTCCCATAGAATTTTTTTAAAGCCTTAATGAAAGAGTTAAATGAACCAAACCAACCAGCTTCAAGGTGAATCGCAACATTACAAACTTTGATTTGAATCAAAAAAGTATTTGAAAATCCGACAAAAAGGCAAAGTACATGGCTTTAATGAGGGAAATAACTGCAATTTAATAACGCATTGCAAATTACATAATCTTGCCGCAGATTTCTTTGCAGAATCATGGCATTTTGCTGTTAAACACAATTATATAAAAAAAGTGGACTGATGATCTCAACAATAACATATACCATCGACTTAGTAACAAACGCGTAGCTCACAAAAGGTCTGTCTTTAAATGTCTATGTGGTATCATAAAAAAAAATGGAATTCCCCTATGGAAAAAATATTTTCACTATTCCTTTGGATAACATTCATGTTACTGTGAGCAGGACATTATCAAATCAATTAGATAAAATCATATAGAAAGATAAACTATAAATCTAATTACCTTGCTTTTGCAGAATTAATCATTACTGCCGGTGGAGAAAATATACCACCCGTCCCTATTGAGGACGCCCTAAAGGAGGAGGTGTCAATCATCAGCAATATCATGTTGGTTGGAGACAAAAAGAAGTTCCTTGCTATGCTACTTACACTCAAAGTACGTCTATATTTACTTAGTGGGACCATTAAATATGCACATTTTGCCAAATGTTTACATTTATACCAGCCACTATAAAAGAGTATTTGCTAAGGCACCATTTTCAAAATGTATGTTGTTATATCTTCTTTTTAAATCACTGAATCTTATTTTTAGTGCAACACTGATGACAATGGAGAACCCACAGATGAACTGACACCACTAGCGGTGGAGTTTTGTCGGCAGCATGGTGTAATTGCCAGCAATGTCTCAGAGATCATTAGCAAAAAAGAGCCAGCCATTTACAAAGCCATCCAGGAGGGCGTAGACCGCGTGAACGCCAAAGCGACATCCAATGCCCAGAGAGTCCAGAAGTGGACCCTCCTTCCACGAGACTTCTCCATATCTGGCGGAGAACTTGGTGAGTGTTATTATTTCTTTATATAGACAAGAACATAAAATAGATGAAGTGAAGTGAAGATAGCTTTGACTTGAAAAAATATGATAAGCATTTGTGTCAGTTCATGTCAGTACAATTCATGTAGGTCACTCACACTCAACATGCTTGCCTAACTGCATTCTTGAATGCATAATTACAGAGAGGAATGTAAACAGACTGATGGATTTATTAGATGTGAAGTGAGCTCAAGTTTTTTCTTCTTCTTAGGTCCAACCATGAAGCTCAAAAGGCCTGTCGTCAGTAAAATGTATCAAGAAGAAATCAACAAATTTTATGGTGAATAACAGAAGAACCCAAATGAAAATGTGGGAATTAAACGCAAGACTACACTGGATCATATTCTTTTGCCATTGTTCAGTAATTTGTATTTTGCTCACTCCAATGGGCCTCAGTCAAACTTTACACCGACCATTTTATACCAATACATTCATTACCTTCTATAAATGGTCAATTAATACGTTTTCAAATCTATCTATTTGTCATTAGAACTGGTTATGTATATTCTGTACAATGTATGAAATTGGAGTTGATTGTATGTGATATTACTGTGCGCATTACTGTTAATCTAAGATCTTTGAAGAAGTTCAGTGAAAATGTCTAGAAACAGGCTTAGATTGAGTGATATGTACAAGGTTAATATTGTTGCTTGCACACTGAGTGTTGTTTGTACGTCAAACAGTTACAGTGTAACTGTAAAGATACAGATATGTTTGTCTTCTTATCACTGTTCAAATTTCACCCAGCACATTTAATATTTATGAGAGTGGAGGGTGTCAGCGTATGTTGGAATATAAGTGAATAATATATTGGAACTCCATAAGTTCCTTTTATGAATGTCATTTTTTCTTTGTGTTCATTTCTTAAAATGGGAGTGTCACAAGTGAGCAGGTGCAGGGAAAACTGCTGATATGTTTGTGTCTGCCTGTGTGCTTGTGTTCTGAAACACACAAGTCTCTCTGATAAGGTCTCAAACTAAAAGCTCATTGTGGTTTAAGTCCACCCCGCCCCCAGTTATTGTTCATATTGTGTTCGTGAACCAGTTTTGAGGTAATGCAGAAACACAAGAAGGTTTTATCAAGAAACATCATCCCTCTAAAAAAAAAAAAAAAAAAAAGTCATCTTTTGTTCACTTCTTAGACGGTTTCATTGAGACTGATCTGTTGTGTGTTTTGCATTTCCATTTGTTGGAGGTTCTGGTGTTACATGCAACTATAGAACCCAATTAACTACTATAATAATGTAAGTATTGAAAGAATTTCTAACACAGACAGCATGTGAGGTATAGCTCAGAGGTTAGATTTTAGGATATAGCTGGACAGCTTATAGTCATTGTTCTGAATAGTTATTTATTTATAAATATGGAGACACTTTAAAAAAACAACAACTTGTGAATCATTAAAAAGCTTAAGATGTGTCAGTGCATCATTTTCAGCACATTTACAAAGCATTAAGCACTTTTTTAAGCTAATCTTTTTTTCTTTTTGTGCATGTCAAAGTAAATTTTGAAAACGCATTTTAATACTTTAAAAAAAAAAAGATAATTATTCAAAAATTCTGAATAATATAGCTTGTCCTGGTTGGGAAAATAAAATAAAATGTGAATGATGTGCTGGAAAATGAGACTTGGCAATGGGATTGTGCATTAGTAACCATTTTTTTTCTCAATTATGTTCATATTTTTATTTGAAATGTGAATCATTCACTTAATGTCCACCAATGATTCGATGTACTCCTTCAACATTATGCATAAATCCTCTTTCCTAACACTGGTTATTGCTCTTCTGATTAACAAACATGATATCTGTCCATTGAGGACAAAGTACTCAGATCACAATCAGAACATTAAATCAAAAGAAGTCATCAGTTCAACTTGCATAACCTCACCAGTAAAAAAGTGCAGGAAATGAAAAATTTTCATTCACTATCTCTGCTGACATCAAAAAACTGGACTTTGATCTAAACACAAATATAAACTAAAAATATTTCACTTGAACTCTAGCAACAATTCTCGCTGTCATTTCATCCATCTGACCAGAGCAGGTTAGTACGTAACCAAACTGGCTCTGGAACAATCTAGGAAGTCTCCTTAAGTCTCCTAAAAATTCCACACCAACTGCCTTTGGCTCTTGCATCATCAGACAGACTTGTGTTGGTTTTGGATTTGACCTTTATTTAGAAAATTACCACATATCAATTTACTGGGTGAAATCTTACTACACAAGTCTTAAAGGGACAGTTCAACCAAAAATGTTAATTCTGTCATTTACTCCCCCCTCATGTCGTTTAAAAAAGATTTTTCTTTTCTTTTGCGGAACACAAAAGAAAATCTTTAGCAGAATGTTCAGGCTGCTCTTTTGATAGAAATGTAACAGTTTTTAATGATAAAGTTTGCGCTTTGTAAATCCTTTGGCCCTTACTTTAACAAATATAAGGCAGCTATCAGCTTATAACACAATATAGAACATCCCAACATGTAGGCTATAGACTCTCTGACACACTGACATCAGCGTTTCACCACAGAAACGGTTTATTATGAACAGTGCAACACTGCACTCATGTGGTCATGACACACTCAGTCACACCAACTGCATCACTTACTATCTCTAGCAGACTGAATCTTAGAGAACAGTAATTCATTCATTTGCTCAATAACAAACAACCAAAACAAAAATCGTTCACAAAGTATTCACTTCCAAAACTTCGATTTCTGTGTCCATGCTGAACTCCTTGAACGGCGAAGAGCCAACTAGTGGTTTGTGGCAGAAACGAACTGCAGGTACTTTCTAAAGATATTTTGTTATTAGTTAGTGTTTATTTAGTCTAAACCAGAGATACATTTTTACATTTTCATACATAGATCAACGGTATTAAATCACGTACGACTATATGTTAAATGACTAAACTAAAAAGTAGTCATAGTGTATAGCTGTATAAAATCTATTTGAACTGTAAAATCTGTAGGCCTATGTGTAGTGTATAAAAACAAGAGAAATTGAATACATCAATGAACATAAAATGCAAAAAAAAAAGTGAAAAAAAAAAAGAAAAAAAAATAGTAACAATAAACCTAATGTATATGCAAAATACAGGTTTAGACAGGATTATATAGTTCAGAAAGTTAAGAACTGAATTTTGCCTGAAACGTTTTTATACCATTAAAATATGTTCATTTTTTATTATTTTATATAATGGTGTTTTAAAGTAGACTGGAATTGAAAAATTTGATTAAAATATTAAGACAGGGATTCATTTGTTTTATGTTACACACAAATGCCTGAAATTATAGATTAATAATGATTATAAATTAACAAAAGTTGCCTTGATAAAAAAATATGGCCTTTCACATTTAATTTCACAATTCATATACAGTATTTTAGAGAAGACAAGAGTTCATGCAGCCAATTGTAATTTCTTTGCTCTCCATTTTTACCCCTGGAATTTCATCACAAAATGCATTTTCTTCAAGGTTTTATGAATTACATTTTCTTGTAATTCTGCCAACCTCTCTTTGGCATCAAGAAACACATTTTACAATTAAAATAAGCATGATATACAGTGCCCTCCACTAATATTGGCACCCTTGGTAAATATGAGCAAAGGCAGCTGTGAAAATATATCTGCATTTATCCTTTTGATCGTTCATTCAAAGAATTCACAAAATTCGAATCTTTCATTAAAGTAAAACAATAGGGGGGAAATCCCATTATGAAATAAATGTTTTTCTCTAGTTCACGTTGAGCAAGTAAAGTGCAAACTCATTTGGTGATGATAGCAACAGCTTTCTTCATCCAGGCATTGTTATTGAGTAGAGAGAGCATGAAACGAGCCACATCTCCTCTTGACACAGACTGGCCGATTGGCAGACCATTTTCATCAGGGACATAATAACCTTCATGTGTGAGGAACTCATTGGCTTTGAAAAGAATGAGAAAAAATTCCACAAATTTAACAAAATACAAAAATGCAATTTGTGATAATCTAATAGCTTTGCAGCAAAGGCAAATTTGTCAATAAGCATTTTACCAGAGGTGGACAAAGTAAACAAATCAAGTACTTGAGTAAAAGAACAGATACTCTAATAAACTATTACTCCTTTTCAATTTTATAAAAGTACTTGATTTTTAATGTACTTAAGTATTAAAAGCAGGGCTCCGAACCAGATCAGAAAATAGCAGAATTAATTCAAAACATCACCAAACAAATAAAAACATGATTAAAAGCAAACTAAAGGTGTTATCGAGTTAAGCATAAGCCTGAGAAAAAAAAAAAAAAATGTTTTAAGAGATGATTTAAATGTAGGGGATGATCTGATGGAAAAATATAAGGTAAGGTAAGTTCTATTTAATATTTTAATTTGGCAGTCAACCAATCATGAATTCAAATAGTAGACTACGGCTTATACAAATGTGACGTTGACGCATCCAACGTGAGTGAAATGCCCGTACTCAGCTGTCAAATCACCATATAAGTCGCAGGCATTAGCTTTTGGATCTCAGGAGTTTTTCCAAGGATATGTCACCAACCAACCTTTAGAGTGTTTTATTACATGGCTTGGTTGAATTCTAAAGTAGAACGCTGCGGTCTGTTATTTTTTGATAACAGACCGCTGCTGCTAAGTATAACACACCATTGCCATGAAAAACAGAGCGTTGCCATGGACACAGTTCTGTTCACTCTGAAGGATAAACTCCTTTAAATCAATAAACTCTTTTTTAAATCAATATTTTGTGTCAAATTATTGATTTATTTGGTAGGTAGCCATGTAATAAGCGGGATAATGTAGAGAGAGGCGGTTGTTATAGCGAACATAGTCTCAGCCTCAGACGTCACGCCCACGGAACGTTGGCTAAACGTCTGATGCATATGGTACACTTAACTGGAAACACTTCAGGAATGTCGAAGTCGTCATCTGATTGGTTGAATTTTATCGGATTTCCGGGGGGCGCGAGTGTCGCGTTTATTTTCGGCCCGCCGGGAAACAAAGCGCAGACGTGTGATTGCGGAAAAGAAAAACTGTTATGTTTACATGAGTGACAATGAGCATTTATCAAGATCAGCTAAACGTAGGATTCTCAAAAGTATGCGAGGTTCACGGCATAGACTCTTTAAGAGATGTCCAGGAGTTTTGTTTGAGGCACTTAGTGGAGACAAAAAGAGATATTTTAGCCTGTTTGCCGACAGGATTTGGGAATAGTATTATTTTCCAAGCCTGGCAGACCCTTTGTCAGCATTTAGAAGGATTCCCAGCAGATCCAATTTTACTAGTTGTGTGTCCCCTCCTATCTATTATGGAAGATCAAGTGAAGTAGCTAACTGCGAAGGGGATATCAGCCGCGTTTGCGGGCAAACATGAAACAACAGACGCTGACATCGCAGCTGGCCGATTCAGTATTGTGTTCGGTTCTCCAGAATTGCTTGTGGGTGTTAAAAAGTGGAGAGATATGCTTCAAACAGATGTTTACCGCGAGCGTCTCATCGGTATGGCTGTTGATGAAGTGCATGCCATTGTTGTTATACGTGCACGAACAGATCAATGACTTACTGCTTGTTTTCTTCTCCTCCTTTGATTTTCTATGCTGACTGACTTGTTGCACGCCGGTCTGTTGTTGTGGGGACATTTCCACGCCCCGAAACGTGACGCTGAACGAAACGAACTGTAATTGGTTGTTTGACATGTCGGTCAAACGGCCTTATGGGCGGGCCTTGGCCAAAGAAAGCTGCTATGAGTTCCAGACCTTCAGCCGTCAGTCTGAAGGTCTGGCTACGCGAGACTATAGCGAACACAACCCCAGGCGCTTTTTTATTTGAGTGCTTAGTCACAGCCGACCAGGCAGTCATTCCTCTCAGCATGGTATAATGGGTATTTGTTCCCCATAGCGTCTTGTCAGACGAAGAAGTTGATGATGTGTACTACAGGTACCCTATTATAATCATGGTCGCACCAGTAGTGACATCACGGACTGTTGTCGGCCAATGACTGTGGCGAGAAGGACGAGGCCGAGGGCCGTGGGAGAACGGCGCGAGGCCAGTGGTGTGATTGATGATGAGCGACACCCCCGCGATGCACCGGTCTTGTTTCTCTCACGGAGGAGCGGGAGCATAAAAGGAGGAGCGACGGCAGTGAAGGACGAGAGAGGACCAGGCCTGGACCGTTTTATTTGAGGTTTTGTTTTATTTGGTGTGGCGGCAGTCGTCTGTGAGGGACTGCCGTCTTTACTTTAATTTTGTGTTTATTTCATTATTAGAGTTATTGAATGTTCGCCGGTTCCAGCCTCCTTCTTCCCACAACAGCGTTACAAGGACATTGTTGCATTTAAACATGTGCTTCAGACACAGGTCACGTTGATGACGTTCCCATTGCGTCTTGTCAGGCGCAGTGTCTCATTCCCCTTCTTAGGGGAACCAGGGTTACATTTGTAACCGAGACGTTTTGCGTAATGAAAATGTGCGCCTTGATTTCATTCACTAAATGATCACTAAACTTCTGCCATGAAAACACTGCTTGTATGATACAATTATTTGGTAACAGTTTACAATAAGGTTCAAGTATTAAACATTAGTTAATGTATTAACTAACATGAACTAACCATGAGCAATACATTTGTTACTGTTTTTGTTCATCTTTGTTAACGTTAGTTAATAAAAATAAGGTTGTTCATTGTTTGTTCATGTTAGTTCACAGTGCATTAACTAATGTTAACAATATTTTAATAAAGTATTAGTAAATGTTGAAATTTACATTAACAAAGATTAACAAATGTGATTAAGATTATGTGCAGTTCATTATTAGTTCATGTTAACAAATGTAGTTAACTAATGAACCTTATTGTAAAGTGTTACCAATTATTTTTTTTAGAAATTCTTAATTTTATATTTTAGAAAACTTAATAGGGGTATAAGTCTGGAAACACAATTGTTTCCATACTCTGTTTTATTTTTTCCAAACATATCCAGACCTGGAAGTTACTCAAATCAAATTCCATACTTTTCCATGCTCCTACTGCGTAGGAACCCTGTAGTTCACAAACAACTGACAGTCATGCCATAAATACAATTTTCATTTACTATAATAAATCCTAAAATTCAGCATTAGTAAGCTCCGAGGACCTCAAGTTCTTGGCTCATTTTGAGTCAGACTTGTGAATTCAGCGAATTGTTAACTGGAGACTCGCTTTGACCAGATCATTTTAATCAGTGAGTTGTGAACTCATGCAATCGGATCGGTTCAATTGATGAATGAATCGTTCATTGCGATTTGCAAACCGATTTAACAGGTTAATTAAAAAGAATCAGCTCGTTCACAAATCGGATACCGCTCTTGCATCTCAGAGCGGGTGATCATTTCTTCAGTTCAAAATAACAAGGAATTTTTATGAAATGTAGTGAAGTAAAAGTTTCCCTAAATAAAAATACTCTGATAAACTACAGATGTACTTAAGTACAGTAAAGAAGTAAAAATACTTTGTTACTGTCCGCCACTACATTTGACCTGTTACTTAAAGCAGCACTCAGTAAGAATTCCGTTTTTGTCAAACAGCGACCCCTAGAGTCGCTGTGGAGCACTTGTACTGTCGTGAATAGCACTCACGCAGAGATGGCTCGCACTCACGGCCGGATCCCCTCCCCCTGTACACCGGTACCTGTTCAGTAGGATGGACGCTGTAACGAGTGGAAATAAGGTATGGCCCCTTTAAGAGCTGCGCGCGCCCAACACCACATGTATACGGCGCCGGGTTATTTCTGTTTGATGCTCATTTTATCAGAATTTTATCAGATCTGTTTTTTGCCGTAAAGCAATTCGTTACCTCGCGAGACCTGATATCACACGATACTTCCTAACACTCAGGCCGGCGGCTCGCCGGCCCAAATTTGCAAGGGTGGTTTTGCGGCTCACAGGCACCAGGGGGGTGCGAGACGACCACCATTCAACACGAAATCAGTAATATAAACATTACAATGACTCCAAAGCTGTTCGGTTAAGGTAAAAAAGTTACTTAGTTCACCTTTAAAGTTATCAACAATCGAAGAAAATGCATACATTGATTATATTTTAATTTGTATCAAAATTGGTTTTATTTATAAATCCCACCTGTTGTTGGTGTATTCTTGAGACCAGGAGGCCGGACAACAGTCCAGTTGATGTCATCAGTCTGCTTAAGAAAGTTTTCCATTTCATACATGTTGTTCAGAACGCTTCTAATCATGGGAAGCAACATGAAGCGGATGAGTAAGGAAGAATTGGAGCCTGAATTAGCTGTGAAGAGTGTCATAACAGTCTAATTACTATACCAGACAACCGATCAGACCAAAAATACTTTGTAAGGTAAAGAATAGGGGTGCAACGATACCCTCATGTCACGATTCGATACATATCATGATACTAAACTCACAATACGATATTATTGCGATACTCCAAGGTAAATGTTTAAAGGTTAATGAAAAATGTACTGTTGATTAAAATGCTAAATTTGGTATTACATTGGGGGTGGAAATGAATAGGCTTAGACTTGGTGCTGGTATCCCAATGCACAGGACAATGGTGACACCAGAATAAAAATATTCATGATTCTGAAGCTGAAAACAGAATTATTTTAGACGAATATGCTCGCACTCTGTCACTGACTATATATGTAAAAAAATATATAATAGGTCACTTTTTACTGGTAACATAAGACATTTGGCATTATCAGGACCCACAAATATTCCCCCATTGCATTATTATACATTATATACAACATTATATATAGTAGTTTAATGTAGTACTGACACTAAAACTCTGTAAACTTTATTTTTTTCATGCACAGTAATTTTCATTTTAAGTGAACTATACACAATACAGATTGTCACTATCCACGTCACTATCCATATTGTTGCATTTTTGTATTATGATGATATATTGTGACATGATATATTGTTACACCCCTAGTAAAGAACCTTCAGATTCATGCACCTACAAATAATAACAGCACTTACGGTCAGTGTACCATGAGGTCATGGTGATGATTCGATTCACTTTGGCATCACGCATAGCATTTAATGCTGCTGTCATAGACTGGGTGTAGCCAGTGATTCCATAAAAAAATGAGATTGGAAAGCCAAGACAGGACAACACAGCATCCTGGCCTTTGAAATGCGGTTTCAGGCTGTCTTCAGAAAAAATGTCTCCCTCAACCACCTATCACATGAGGGCATGCAATTAAACAAGGTTACATGGTTATGAGATCCCATGCTAGTTGTAGTCACTGAAAATCTACTCTTGAACACATGAAGTATTATCTACACTGGCAACTTGGTGTTAATCATATCATTATAGCAATGCTGTGCCTGGATAACTGTCCATAAAATACTTTCTGCACAAAAATGTGGGGCAAGCAAATCATGTGATGATATCAACCCATAAATCAATTACATTTTTTTTTATGCCACCTTGTGACGTTATGCTAAATTGTACATACAAAAACTCATGCAAAACAAACATTTGCATGTAGGTTAGGCCTATGCATTAAATAGTTCACCTTTGCACCTTGATGACTTAAAAATCCTTACTTTTATTCAAATTATCTTTCCTTTCAACATTTATCATTGTGCAAATCTGAGTCAACTAGGTAAGAAAGGAAATGAGAGCTAATGAGTTTATATAAATTCTTTATATACATTTGTAAGTATAATGCTTTTAAACATTTTATACAACCTTTCAACATTTATCATTGTGCAAATCTGAGTCAACTAGGTAAGAAAGAAAATGAGAGCGAACAACTCAGACTATACTCATACTTTATATAAATACATTATAAATGTAAGATAAGCTTCAGTTTGTCATGAAGGACATTGCTAAATGAATTTAGTTGGATTTGAGATTGTGGATTTGCAGTTACTTACACCTGAAAGCAATACGAACAAATGTAACGTAAAATAATTCATAATTTTCATCATGCCATTTAAAAAAATAATAACAATAATACCTTTTGAAATGAAACTTTGAAATTCTTACATGTTTATCCTACTATTTACCTTGAGGTTCTCGTGTGTTACAGTCAGTTTTCCCGGGTTTCTGACGACGGCTGTGACGGAGTGTCCTTGCTGAAGAGCCTGATTCACCAGCTGCTGTCCTGTTTGACCAGTCGCTCCAAGTACAGCAATCTTCATGTTTAATCAAGACAAAACCTTTTATTCCTGCTAAAAGAAAACGAGTAAAATTACCTCAGCTATAACACAGTAACACATGTTTATACAACCCACTAGAGAAGGGCTAAAATATGCATAGGTTAATTTTGCGCATAAGGTCTTCTGCCTGTGATATAACCTGCTTATCAAACGACCGGAAATAACATTTGATATTGCAAGACTCCTCCTCAATGACAACCAAAACAACATTAAATAGCTCTGCGGATACAACTAAAAGTGTGTTAGGAAATTAAAGGAAATTAATTTGTAAATCATCTGAAGAATTTGAGCATCACCAAATACAACACTGTTTAAAGTAATAAACATGTACAGCTACCTCCAAAATCGCTCCTGTTGAATGGGGGCGGCTAAGCAACAGCAAACACGTGCAAGCGCTTCCTGCTGTCAAACATAACTTAGGTCAAACAGCTGCTGATATAACTTGGACTTTAGTGCGCATGCGCATTACGAGTACTTCACGCAAGAGTCCTGAAAAGCATGTTTTGCAAAAAGTAAAATAAATACATAAATTAGGCTACAGTCATTGTAATATATGGCATTGTAATAAAAATGGCCTATTACCCTATCTTTAAAAAAAAAATAAGAAAAAAGAAAGAAAAGAAGCTAGCAAAAAGAAAATTATATAAAAAAGAATTTATTAATATGTATTTATTAATAAAAATCGTAACCTTATATCTATGTTGGGCAGTTTACCCGAATTCTTTTTTTTCTTGCTCCAAATAAATGTTAGTAAAAACTCTTGATTCGCCTCGTGGCTGCTTGGGATGATTCTATGTCTATATCCTCGGATTGAAAATGAATGGGAAAATACTTCTGGAACAAACGCCGCTAACGTGGGCGGACAAAATCAGAAGACGAATGGCGTCTTTCTTTGACGAAAGTTCAACTAATTTGAATTCGATTACTTATTTATTCCATAAGAATGCTACTCGTTTTGACACTAATGGCGTATCGTTAAAAAATTTACTAATTTGAAATGCCTATTTTTTTTAAACATATGTGTCAGCATGCAAGGATCATCTGAATAAGTCATGTGAACAGTGAAGTGCTGTTTACCAATGCCAGAAAGAGCTTAGCATACCATGCAGCCTTTGGACACAATAATCGGACGGACGACGCTTCTTGATGAACATGTTTAAACCAGCTAAGTTACGATATGCACCTTTGATTTAACACAGTGGACTCCACCCCCTTGTGGTTAATGTTACTGTCACAACAATCACAGTTCCTTGTTTTCAATTACAGAAGTTGGGCAGTTTGAAGGACTCTTTGGTTTCGCTTATTCAAATGTCACTATCACAAGTACAGTTAGTGTTGAGCATTCACCATGAAGCTTCAGATTTGTCTATTTTTCGGCGTGACCTTTTTCTGCGTATCGACAGCTGATTTCTCTCCTCCAGTGGTGAACATCAGTCTGGACGTGCCCGCAAATCAGAGATGGGCTCCTCTGAAGAACCTCTATGACATTAATTTCTTGAGAAAAGCTGCATCTGAGGTGATCGAGTAAGTATCAAATAGATACCGCACGCGCGCACAAAGAAGGTGCTTTCGATGGTATTCTTGCAATTTTGACAAGAATTTTGTTAGCCATTATACTTTGACCTACCCGACGAGTTGAAAAAGTTTATGCACAAAATTTGTAATCACAGACAACCAAATGTTTAAGTTCACTAAGCATAAAAAATGCAATCACGTGAGCGCTGCTGAGAAGGCATTCCCCCTCTCGTTTTTTATTCACAATCATTTGTAACTTACCTGTCGTTTACTTTTTGTAGATCTTTAGGGTAAAGTTTAGTCATTGTTTGCCATCACCATCCCAGATCCACAGCATGTCTATGTCTTGTGTGTTCTTCTGCAGCTCGACTGTTCCCAAATGGGTTCATGTTGCAATTAAACCTATAGTGAATGCTCTGGAGAAATACATCCCACAGCCGTATGCTGGAGAAATACAGGGCATGGCATCATTCTATGGGACTGACATTTCAGATATCGTGCTGTTGAACTTTGCCTATGAAGTATCTGCGTAAGTACTGTATAGGTGCTGTTGACCTTTTCTGCATTTTTTTGGTTCAACACTTTTGAAAGCTGTCAACCTCTTTTCAACATTCATTGTGGTTGCTTTGCTTTTTTCAGGTTTTGCACCAGTATTGTAACTCAGGATACAAAGGGAAATATATACCATGGCAGAAACCTGGACTATCCCCACGACGTGCTCAGAAATCTAACTCTAGACGTACTTTTCATGAAAAATGGAAAGGTAATGAAGTGATTATATTGTATATTTGTATAATGTTTTATTAACAAAGTTTGGGAGGAACACGTTCAAAAGATCTATTGGTCACACTTTAGATTAGGCTCCAATTCTCACTATGAACTCATTATTAATTACGACTTTTGCCTCAGTAAACTCCTAATTACTGCTTATTAATAGTTATTAAGGTAGTTGTTAAGTTTAGGTATTGGGTAGGATTAAGGGATGTAGAATATGGTCATGCCTTAATATGTGGTTTAATGCCGCGTTCCAGGCAACCTGTAACCCGTGTTTTTCCAACCTTATACCCGTGAAAGTGCACTGGAACGGCAGTCAAACCCGTGACTTCCCACCCGTGAACTCGTACTAGATCGATGTACTCCCAGTTACGAGTTCTGACGTCACATAGCCCGCAAAACCATACAAAACAACAATGGCAGCCCCTATGGATGCAGTGTTTCTGCAGGCGGTACACAGTGAGAATACACTTTAGGACAATATAACGTTGCAGTCAAATTAATAATAATATAATAATAATGATATAATACACACAAGATTATGTATTACAATGTTATGTGTCTGAAACAATAAGTATGTATATACACACAGGATTATGTATTACAATGTTATGTGTCTGAAAAAATAAGTATGTATATTGCGCTCAGGTAGTTTGGCATGACTGGCCTGGAATGCTACAAAGTCGTGAGTCGTGGTTTGAAGTCGTGATTTACGTGCTCAAAAACCTGCCTGGAACGCAGCATAAGAGTACTAATAAACAGCCAATATCTTTGTAATATGCAAGCTGATAAGGAACTAGTTAAAGGGATAGTTCACTTTGAAATTAATTTTTGATATGTTTTAGCTTTCCTCAAGGGCATCCAAGATGTAGGTGTCTTTGTTTCCGCAGTAGTTTCAATTTTGATATTTTTAGGTCAAACCGTTCTTGTCTGTCAGTCATATAATGCAAGTCTATGGTCACCACCTCAAAGAGCATGCACAGAGAAGTCCAAATTAAACATGATTTAATGACTCGTAAATGTAAGTACACATTGATGGCCTGAGACACGAAACGAGCGGATTGTGTGAGAAACCGAACAGTATTTATATCGTTTTTACCTCTTGTAACCACAGCTACGTCCAAGTGATCTGAGGGCGCGGGCGCTTCGGTCTGTGCTTTACAAGAGGTAAAAACGATATAAATACTGTTCGGTTTCTCACACAAACCGCTCGTTTCGTGTCTTAGGCCATCAATGTGTACTTACATTTACGAGTCATTAAATCATGTTTAATTTGGACTTCTCTGTGCATGCTCTTTGAGGTGGTGACCATAGACCTGCATTATATGACTGACAGACAAGAACGGTTTGACCTAAACATATCAAAAATTAAAACTACTGCGGAAACAAAGACACCTACATCTTGGATGCCCTTGAGGTAAGCTAAAACATATCAAAAATTAATTTCAAAGTGAACTATCCCTTTAATACTGGGAATTGGACCCTAAACTAAAGTGTTACCGATCTATCCGATCAGCATGAGAGGAGACCTACACTCACCGGCTACTTTATTAGGTACCCCATGCTAGTAACGGGTTGGACCCCCTTTTGCCTTCAGAACTGCCTCAATTCTTCATGGCATAGATTCAACAAGGTGCTGGAAGCATTCCTCAGGGAGTTTGGTCCATATTGACATGATGGCATCACACAGTTGCCGCAGATTTGTCGGCTGCACATCCATGATGCGAATCTCCCGTTCCACCACATCCCAAAGATGCTCTATTGGGTTGAGATCTGGTGACTGTGGAGGCCATTTTAGTACAGTGAACTCATTGTCATGTTCAAGAAACCAATTTGAAATGATTAGAGCTTTGTGACATGGTGGAAGTAGCCATCAGAGGATGGGTACATGGTGGCCATAAAGGGATGGACATGGTCAGAAACAATGCTCAGGTAGGCCGTGGCATTTAAACGATGCCCAATTGGCACTAATGGGCCTAAAGTGTGCCAGGAAAACATCCCCCACACCATTACACCACCACCACCAGCCTGCACAGTGGTAACAAGGCATGATGGTTCCATGTTCTCATTCTGTTTACGCCAAATTCTGACTCTAACATCTGAATGTCTCAACAGAAATCGAGACTCATCAGACCAGGCAACATTTTTCCAGTCTTCAACTGTTCAATTTTGGTGAGCTCTTGCAAATTGTAGCCTCTTTTTCCTATTTGTAGTGGAGATGAGTGGTACCCAGTGGGGTCTTCTGCTGTTGTAGCCCATCCGCCTCAAGGTTGTGCGTGTTGTGGCTTCACAAATGCTTTGCTGCATACCTCGGTTGTAACGAGTGGTTATTTCAGTCACTGTTGCCCTTCTATCAGCTCGAACCAGTCTGGCCATTCTCCTCTGACCTCTGGCATCAACAAGGCATTTCCGCCCACAGAACTGCCGCTCACTGGATGTTTTTTCTTTTTCGGACCATTCTCTGTAAACCCTAGAGATGGTTGTGCGTGAAAATCCCAGTAGATTAGCAGTTTCTGAAATACTCAGACCAGCCCTTCTGGCACTAACAATCATGCCACGTTCAAAGTCACTCAAATCAACTTTCTTCCCCATACTGATGCTCGGTTTGAACTGCAGGAGATTGTCTTGACCATGTCTACATGCCTAAATGCACTGAGTTGCCGCCATGTGATTGGCTGCTTAGAAATTAAGTGTTAACGAGCAGTTGGACAGGTGTACCTAATAAAGTGGCCGGTGAGTGTATATGCTGTATATAAAGCCGACTCACCTACGTTCCTCGACCGTTTTCTGCATCCCTCCGCCACGATTGGCTGGTTCCTATCCTAGCCAGGGATACGAGGGAGTACTCTGGGTTCGGGCCAAAATCCGTGCTTGGAGCCATCCTCTCGGACAGCACGCCAAATACGCATTCTCTTTTACTCTATCTGATTATTTCATGAATATTATATTCTGAAATTTGTTTCTCTACAGGTGGCCTACAGAGGAACCACTTTTGCCGGTTACGTTGGGCTGTGGACTGGACAGAGCCCCAACAAGTTTACAGTGTCTGGCAATGAACGCAGTAGGTTTGATTTGTTTTTTTAAATGAGATCATCTTGTGAATTTTACACAGATTTTATTATGTCTGTATTTCCACAGATAAGGGACA